CATCTTGAAATGCAGGAGGGAGGTTTGACCGAGATGTTCGTGGGATTGTATCAGCTTCATAAATCTCCCTTTTAAAGGGGCTGCTCCATCACTTTAATGTGTTTTTCCCTAAAAATGAGAAGTTGTTTGCTGGATAAGATGGAAGAGGAGTTGAGTTGCAGCGAGCGTTTGTTGTTTCTAGAATAGCTGATGAGATTTATCAAATGAATTCAGTGATCCCAGAGGACCGCACTCAGCATTTCATTCCTTGGTAACTTTTTAAAAGGAGACAATCTGTGCTGTCTCACTCTAATATTGGGAGCGTTCGGTAAGAAAGTGAAGCACTCAATCAGCTCTCATCCCCACGGCTCCAAACAGAGAGGGGACTGTGCTTTACGTTGCATTCATTGCCCGGTATTTGGCTGGAAAATGTGGCTCTTTGAGGATTCCGGTTTTCAAAAGACTTCTGCGTCAGCAGAACTTGCTGTGCTCGCTCAACTCTTAGTGCTTTGCATGATCTCAGAGTTCCCATCCCTGGTTGGAGCAGACCAGGTGGCAGAAGGTGCAGTGGCACCTCCTGATGGGTTCGGGGTTCTTCTGTCTGCTACGGGCCAAGCGTTGTGTTTGGAGGTACTGTGGGTGGCCATGGCACTGAGGGTTCCAAACTGGTGCATACCAGCAGTGTCTGACACTCCTGCAGTGCTGTTAGTGAGGGTGCTGAGCACCATCTGCAGACTTAGGAGCCGCTTGAGTTTCCCAGAGAGCTGAATTTAAAGGGATATTTGTGTTCTCTAAAATCTGCTTATTTTCTAACCTCTCTGCTGCCTCCCACTACCTGGCCTTCATTTCTATGCCACTTCTGTCCTTTGTTATTTTTCAGATTATGGTATTTTCTCTCTTTAGTTCAGTGAGAAATTGGCACTAGCAGAGGAGGGGTCATTCTCAAATGCTGAAAAGACGCAAGTTGGAAATTGCTGCATTTCCTTTTGGCTCAAGGGAACGCTAACTGAGGCAATTCACCTGAATGTTAGGAGTTACTAGTTACAGTAATAAGTAAACAATTTGCAGGCAAAAATGTCATCTCTAAAGTGATGATTGCCTTGAGGCTCTTTGGAGTTCTAGTTGCCTGGTGTCGTTTGGTTTCTATATAATAATGAAGAAAAATGCTGGAAAACGCAACACTGCTTTGAGTTCTGCTCTGGAGCAATCAGTTTCTTTTCTCCATCCTTTGCAGGATTCAGCAGGTTGCTTTCCTGGCTCACCTGCAGTCCGTTACATTCAGTGTAGTGCATTAATCCTTGCTATCCTTGTGTATGGAGATTGACCCGTCCCGTGACCAGGACAAGGTGTGCGATGTGGGGAGCAAAGCTAAGAGAAACCTTTAAATCTGAGAAGGGCTCTTTTCAGGGAGCAGGAATTAACTCTTCCGTTGGCACTTCTCATTCCATCCGTTCGGTTGTGTGCATGGAGAGGTTTGCACTGAATCGGCTGTGCTGAAAGAAGGCTTGCTTGTTCTGCCCCAGGAGCACCCACCCATCAGCGTGTGCTGAAATAACTTTGCTCCCAAACAGCCACAGAGCTTGTTATTTTGGGGCAAGGGGGCACTTGTGCTGAATGCAGTAGCAGTCCCTGCTGTCCCTGCTGCTGGAGGCAGCACGTGGTCTGTCGATGCTTCCTTTGGGTCAGCGATGAGCAGACTCACAGATATGACCAAGGGCAGAATATCTGCACCAAAAGAAGGGATTAAGGTGGTGCTGAGTCTGGTGTGAGGTGGAATTTGCAAACACAGCTGCAATGGATGTCATGGGGTTTGACCAGAGCATCCACAGGTCCTGCTGCACCTGGGCCTCGTGCAGTCCCAGCATGGAGCAGTGTAGTCCCTTGGAGGGGCTTGGTGTGCTGGTGGAGCATGGCCATCCAGGAGACCCCACCAGGCCTAAGAACCATTTCTCTTCCGAGCTTTTGCTGTCTTCTTCAGGGACAGCACAGCACATTGCACTTTTTCTGCTTAGGGAAGGGGTAGTGTGCCCTGGGGATCTCTGTCCATTGTTCTCATCTGACCCTGGTTGCGGCATGTCTAGACTGGTGTGGTGGTAAATGCTGGAGGCTGCTGATCCTTGTCTGCATCAAAGGGTTGGCCCCTGCTGGTCTCAGGAATTGTGCTGATTTTAACAGCAGCTTGGCATGACAGTGCTGGTATGGATGCTGGGTAGAGAAATATGGGGAAAAAAAGATGCGGGGGAAGTGAGTGGCATATGGAAAGGTCCTGCAGTCAGCTCTGTCCTCAGCTCCTGCAGTCCTCAGTTAATTGTGCAGTGCTGCCATACCAGGGGTAGATCTTCTGGGAAAACTGTGAGTGGGCAAATTGTACTGACATCCAAAGGCTGCCAGCCTAGCAGTCTCCTGAGCAGTTACTAAGCAGCTTCTCCATTCCAAAATAATGTTTCCTGATGTGAGCTGGTTGATGTGAAGCATTTTACACAACCTTTATCGTCTCGAGGCTTCCATCTCCTCTAACTGGCGTTCCTTTGGAAATTAAGTCCTCTTGTAGCTCAGGGAACAGTCCTAGGAGTGCTTGGAAGAAGGGTAACTTAAGTGCCTGAGGCAAGGAGGGAAGATAAGGTTGATCAGTCTGAGCCCAGAAACCCTTCACAAAAGTACCAGCCCTCCTGTTCTTACCCAGTCCTTGCTCTGCTAAGTCTGTGCCTTCTGCATGTTGGAGGTGATGGGTGAGATTATTCTTTTACATCATTGTCTCAAAGCTTGCTGAGGACACAGATGAACAAGTCCTGGGCAGGGGTTGAGAAATCCTTTGTCTGGAGAACTCTGATGGACAAGTCCTGGGCAAGGGTTGTGAAATGCATTGTCTGAGGGGTACAGATGGACAAGGCCAGGGGCAGCGAGAGAGAGATAAGCTGCAGCTTAACGGCAGTGAAACGGTCTTTTGTGTGGGCTTATCTCAAGGAAGATGGCCATCTCAGGAGGTACTCACATGACTCTTGCTCAAGCACCCGGGGATGTCACGTAGGCAGAAAGAGAAGGATAAAATGGGGACCTACAATCAAAAATTGGTACGTGAGGTTTTCTGGCAACAGATTCCTTGTGAAGAAGAGGTTTCTGCCATGAAGAAGCCTCACGACCTGCCCTCTCTCCCTCCTGGACTTGCTCTGTGCTCTACCATGATGCCGAAGAAGAACAAAGGTGTCTGCCATCAGATTCCTCACTATGGAATTCCTGCATGCTGACGGACTCTCCTGGACCCGCTACCTGAGTCCTGCTGCTTCCTCCCGGGTTGGCTCTGTGACTGCCTCCTGCTGCCTGCTTGCTGCCCAAGGCCGGCCACACTGCTGCTCTCCCCCCCTGCTGCTTCTGCCTCGGACCTTCGAAACGTTGTGCAGCTGACCGCTGCTGGATCCTGGTGGTGACTATCCCCGCTTTACGTGATTCTTGCTTCTTTCCTATCTCTTCTATCGCCCTCCTTCCCTTCCCCATCTCCCTGATTAGGGAGGATTGGACTAACTGGTTGGACTAACATGTGAACCGTTGTTTCTTAATCTCAGGCCGGGTATACGGATATTAAAAGAAGCTCATCTCCCCCCCTATGAATTGGAGCGAGACAATGGGGAACACAGCAGACAGACTTTGCAAAGCAGCAGCCTGTGGGGTGGGGATACTCCTCTTCTACTGTTCTAGCTTCTCCCAGTGCTAAATCACCATCTCCAGTAATAAAGAAGGAAAAACACTCCAGCTCTAAATGCTGCTTTCTCTTCTCTGGTTCTATCCAGCTGCAGAATCCAGCTGTTGTTCCTTTTGTCTTTTTCGCAGCACTTGCTTATCGCTGACTGCTGCGCTCATTCTTTCACATCCTGCCGTCAGCATGAGCTGTGGGATTTCCATGGGGCTTTGCAGGTCACAGTTAGTCTCTGAGCTGACTCCTTATGAGAACCAGAACCAGGACTGTAATAGCACCAGGGCCATGACACCACCCCAGCTGTTAGATGAGGAACTGGAAAGGTCTGGGAGCTGAGAAGCAGCAGAGCCCCATCAGATCCGCTTATCTGCACCAACACGTTGGGTTTTCTCTGGGTACTGACAGAGCAAAGCCCTCTTCTCTGTTTCAGGTGTTGCAGATGCCACTCCACCAGCCCAAAGAAGGAGGACTGGGGCATTACAGTGATGGCAGTGCCAGAAGCCACACCACCATCACATGGCACAAGTGACTCAGGCTTTGTGACCTCTGCAGATCTGGCCTTTCAAGTTCTCTGAGCTGTGCATCCATGGTCAGCAGTTGCTCTTTTGAGCTGTCAGGCAGCTCTGTCCTTGTGCCTACAGATTTGTCCCTCCAGGGCACAGATTGCTGGTGATTTGCAGAGGTCCTGCTGGGTGCTGATCCCTGAGCTTGCATGTGCACCTAGCCTGAACGGAGTCATGTAGGTATCAGCAGATCTTCTCAAACCAGGGATTTACTGTTGTTTTTTAGAACAAGAAAGAGCCTATTTTAGACCTCAGTTCCTCCCCACTGTTTAGAGATATTTTCAGGCTGAAATTCGGCACAACCAAAGCTGAGGGCAGGTCCCACTGACCCAGCAGGCGCAGAGCCCTTCAGATAAGCAGGGCTGTGGAACTGAAGAAGCCCCTTGAGATCATATTGCTTTTTCTGCTGTGTTTTGTTTTGTTTGCTTTTGTCATGGGGCGCTTCTGCTGGGTTCAGGTTGCTGTCAAGTCCAGGGGGCAGCTGCTGCCCTGGCAGCTGGCACAGACCCAGCGCTCAAAGTGCACTGCGTGTGGCTGCAGCGCGTTGGGCAACGTGGGCTGGATGGTCCCCAGGGCTGCCATGCTGGGAGATGTGAAATGCCATCGCCGTGACCCCTCGTGGTGGAACAGTCAGCTCGATGCAGTGCTGAAAGCAGAGCGGTAATGAAGCCCATCTGTTCCTGAGGGCCAGGCCTTGAATGAGGAATGCTTTTTCTTGTCTTTCTTGGCTCTCTACAGTTTCCTGAGAATCTCTGATATGTGTAAGAGGTTTGGGAGGGAGAAAAAGGGGGCTCGGTATGCTGGGAGTTAACTCTGTGCATGCAGGAGAGATTCACATCTCGGTGACTCTTTGCTGCCCTGCATCCCAGTGTCCTGGCCCCACTGCTGCTCCCTGGGAGCACTCTGCACCTGTGCTTTCCTCTTTGTTCCCACTCCCAAGGACCCAAATTTATACTGCAAAAAGGGCTCTGAGGTGCTGGGAACTGTTAGGTGCTGGATTTTCATTCTTGGTGGCTGCTTCCCACCAGCATCTGAATAGAGAGCACGACAAGGCCTCTGTCTTAATCCCAGTGCAAACACAGCTGCCTTTCCTAGGACTTGCTAGAAGCCAGCAAACTACAAAGGCATTAGGTGCTCAGCTCCCATTACTCTCCCTCAGAACTGAGTTTTACTCCCCAAATACCTCCATGGGGCCAAGCCAGGGGTGTTTCACATCCAGGCTTTAAGGCACAGCTGGGCAAATGCCCAAATCTTCCCTTGTTAAAAGGCAGTTAAAGGCTGTTAGATATCTGCGAGAGAGAGAACATCTCATCTTCCCTACCTGGGAAGCCAGAATTAAAGCCTGACATGGGCAATGCTGGGTATAAAGAGTGGCTCCATATCCCTGGGAGCCAAACTCCTCTTCATGCGTGTTTTTCCTGGTGACCCCCGAATGTAGGAGGTAGCATGGCAGCACATGCTTTAGTTTTGTTCCTCTCAGTTTTAATGAGCCAGGGAGCAGATCTAATGCTGTGTTTATTGTGTTGGAAGGAGAGCGTGATGCTCGGAGAGCACGCAGCCTGTGTTAGAACAGGGAAGGGAAGGGGAGCCAAAGGACACGCTGTGAGAATTGGCTTTGTGTGATTCGAGCCCTGTGCAGAAGCGATGCCCAACCTTCCCTGATGCCAAAAACTTTGCAGGAGGTGGCATGGTGTCTTTCAGCAGCCATTGAGTTCATCCCCAAACCAAGGAAGCCTTGTAGCCAGATGAACCTGCTCCCATACCATCCAACAGCCTCAGTATTTCTGCTCCCCTCTGACTGGGCTGACCCTCCAGACCCTGCATTGCCCTGAAGAGTGCTTTCCAAAGCTGGTGCTGTTTGAACCCCGCAGACAGGACAGTGATTGCAAAAAGAACAAACACACCACACTGCCTTATGCAGACACGCAGCAGATACCAGCATCTGTATGCCAGTTTGCTGGGGGACTGGTCAGTGCTGGGGAAACAACTCTCTCATGTAGGTTTTATTTTTATCAGGCCTCTTGCAGCAGCCCTTCCTGGGGCAGCTTCCTGAAGATTCCTGCCTGAGAGCCTTCTCTGAGCTATAAGGTGTGGAAGTGGGGAATAGCTGCAGCTGGGCAAGGGGACAAGTAGGTTGTGCTGTCTGATCCTGCTTTCCTCATCAAGCCCCAGAGCTTTTCATGTTTGGCTAAGATAAAATGGTTGTAAAGTTTTGGGCAGGGTCTGATGGGAATTTGGCTGGGAAGGGCCAGGAGTTGGTATTTCCTGGGAATAGAAAGCAATTTCTCACCCTGCAAAAGGTAGGAAGGTCTCTCATCCTGCAGGAAGTCTGATACGCTGGGTTCAGCAGCTACATCTGCAGTGAAGGTGGCTTGTTACCTTTTCCCCACACAGGAAAGCATTGGCCGCACAACCCACATCCTTTAACAGCTCTGTGCTGAGGTGGAAGTCACCATTCAGTATCAGTATCTAAGATGGCTCAGGGCCTGTTTTTGAGGAGGTGAATGAGGGGTTCAGTGTCTGCAGTCCTTCCCCATGCAGTGGAAAGAGCTTCCTACCCCTGCAGCTCTGCAGCCATTCCCACCAGCATGGAGAGCCCAGCTGGCTCCTTCAGATCCCACTTGCCTTCCTCTTCCCCCTGCTTTCCTACTGCTTTGTGAGTTAGCATCCCCAACGCACTGAGGCTGCAGGGCAGAAATGTTCTCAGTGTTCCTGTGGTGCTGATGGCCATCACCAAGTCCTATGTGTTGCCACCTTGTGGAGCTGTTTCTGCAGCTGGGAGATGCTGCAGGCCGCCCTGTCTCTGAAATGGATGTCATGCTGGAATGGTTGTGTTATGGGACCATATACATCAGCCATGTGCACGAGCCATGGCTGAGCATGGGTGCTGGTATCTGTGCTCGTTTTCATAGTGGAACTTAATTTGCTGAGAGTCACTTGGAGCATCATCCAGCTGGACTTGATGCTGCTTTCTCCCCAGAATGTCCCATTTGATGGTGGCTCAGCTCCAGCTGAGTCTCAGCCCCTTGGGCAGCTCCTGGCAGCTCTCTCATGATGCATGTGCATGGAGACGTGCTGAAAATCTGGGAGCTGCACATGATGTCCATAGGTCCCATCCCATTCCGTGTCATACAGAGGGACAGCCCAGCCACAAGTCCTCTTGTCACCACGTTGCTCACAGCTTATCCTTCTCTGGGGAAGTGCTGCTTGACAAGCATCTCCTGGCTATTCTCCCAGTCCTTCTGCAGAGGGACATCGTCCAGGGCTGGGGCTGTCCCATGGAGCTGCTCATGGGGCAGCTCCCTCATTTCTGAGTGGAGATTTGCAGTCTCATTGCTGATGTGAAACCTGATCCAGCCTTGCTCTGCGCCAGATGTTGCTCTACTGTCGTGAATTGCTGACCTCTGGGGAAGGAGGGCAATGTTGACATGAGGTTCAAAGGTGCTGTTTGTTTGGAGCTGCTGGATGTGGGTATCTCTGGGGCTCAGAGCACTTCCTTCAAGGCAGGGACCTGGGAAATTAGCACAAACTAATTGGAGATCAGAAGCTCCTCAGCAGTTCCCCATCCCTGATCATGTCATGGTTCTTTACAAGTGTGTGGCTCTGCCCTTCCCCTGGCCCTGGGGAGTGGATTTGCACGATCATGTTTCTCTTTAGCATGGGAAGGTGGCAAGTTGCATCCTGCAAACATCTGCAGAGCTGGGCCGTTCCTTTTGGCTGGGCTGCTGTGGTAGTGTATTCGCAGCTGGGTCCTTTCCAAGTTTACTCCTGGCAGCACTGAACAGATTGATTTCCCTTTAGCTTAATAGGGCCGGCACATGCAGGCACTGTGAGGCTGAAGGAAGGCTGGCCTGGCTTGGGGGTGGGGGGAGCTTTGCTTCAGTTGCCTATGAATAGCTGCTGCTGGGTGGATGCTGGCGCAAGAATCCTGTTGGTCTCCCCACAAAAAGAAAGAGATGTCTCCAGAACACCCATTTGCAAGGTTTGCCTGGCAGTGGGTAGGCAGATCCTCCAGCCTCTCAGACAGGTTGCTGCCAGTGCTGATGGACCAGTTGTGTCTCAGTGCTGCAGTGATGCTGGAAATGTTGCATCCTTTCCTGGCTCTTTGGTTGCCTCAGGCAATGCCCACATCTAAAAGCGCAGAGGTAGGCGCAGGGAGCTTCTTATCACAGAAGTTCTACCCAGGAGATGCCTCTCCCTGGCCTTCAGCAGCCTGTAATGTGCTCCTCTCCTGCTCTGTGAACTTATGCATCTCTTCTGCATGTGCATCTTTCTCCATACCTTGTGGCAGTGACTTTCACAGTTCTGTGTGCCACCGTCATTTCAAATGGCACTCGCAGGACACAGGCACTGAGCAGAGCAGTGGCCGTGTCCAAGATGCTGCCATGGAAGCATTTGCTGAGTGTGCATTTTTTCCGATATCTGCTCATAGATCTTTTCATCAATTCCAGATGCACAGAGCTGACAGGCCGTGTTGAAACACATTCAGCAGGAAAGCTGCTGAGCCATGTGACCTTAGAGGGCTGCATTATTTTTCCTTGTGTGCATATCAGAAACCTGTGTGCAGAGGGCACAAACCATGTCTGCCCAATCCAGACCAATCTGCAGGCAGGTTTTGAGCAAGTCCAGCCTGGCCCTGGACACCCTGCACCCTATGCCCTGCACGTTGTGGCAGGGATCTGTCTCTGCCTTGGCACTGCCAACATGTGCCTTGCTGCTCCGATTCCTGCTGAGCAGTGGTCTGGAAAAGGGCTTTATTGACAAGGAATGGCAAAGCTGGCAGTTTGGGCTTGCATCAGACATGCACACAGCAAGCTGGGGCCAGGAGACAAGCAGGCATAATGAATGGGGAAGGGAAACTGCTCTTGGAAAGCTTCTAGCTCGGCGTGTAGGAGAAGTTAACCATTTGAAACAAGGCAGTTGCATGGTACTTCTGCACAAAGGCCATGTTCCTCCTGGATGCTGATAATTTTGTGTTTCCTATCAAGATGTCAGTTGCATTCCTTGTAATAGCAGAGAGCTAGGCATGTTGCCCCGGGAAGTCCACCCCCTGCTTCAAATGCCTGCAATCCTCCTGTTGCACCTGGCTGACATCTGCCTCGGCCTGCTGCCAGGTGACCTCCTGTAGCCACCAAGGAGACACATGGTTTGGGAGGGACCTCTGATCAGGACAGAGTGTCCAGACCAGCCACTGTTGGCTCTGGTCCTGCTCTGAGCCCTGCTGATGACACTGCAGCATTTGGCAGGTTACTTGAAGCAGCTGGATTGTTTCTTTTCCTCTCTGCATGATCTATTGTGAGCTAATCCTATAGCTATCACCTTTTTTCTTTTACTTGATTAGCATTTCTCTGGCTGCTCCTTGACTCAAGTTGGCTAAATTGAAATAAGGAAGCCTTCCTTGAAGATCATAGCTTGAGACATCCCTGTCTCCAAAGAGAAGAGAGCCACGCAGCCAAGTGCCAGTTATGCCAGCTCCAGTCCCTGGGTGCAGCTGGTGAACATGGTGATGGTCCAAGGTGAGAAATGGAGGAAAAGTGCTTTCAGAAACAATGAGGGAAAAGGAATATGTGCAGGAGAGCAGAGATCAAGGGAGGAAAGCACTTCTGATGAAGGACAGAGGTGATGAGGGATGCTCACCAGGAGGCTGTGAGGAGACACGTGCTTCTCTCTCCTTGGCACAGGGCAGTGCCTCCCATATTGAGGTTGCTACTGTGTTTTGGAGATTGAGCTGAGGCATTTTCCTATCAAAGTCAACATGTCTGCATGGAGCTGGCTCCAGACAGAGCAAACTGATGTTTGGTGGCACTTAGTGCTGGTGGCAGTTTGCCCGTGAGCACCGGGACCCAGACAGCGGAGGGCTGCTGCAGACATCTGGGATCACAGGCACAGGTTGGGGCAGGTGTGTGTGGGGTTAGGGCCCACGTCAGCTCTCTGGGGCCCTGTGATTCCACCCCAGATGTTCTCCTCACTGCTGCTGCTGGCAGGCTCGGCACTTCCCTGTCTGGCTGGAACAGGAGCAGGACGTGTGCTCACCACCACGCCTGGCTCTCCCCATCCCTTTCCACAGAGCATCATATAAGGCCTTCCTCCATGTCCTGAGTTAACATTGCCTGGAGGTGACACCTCTCTTGTCCCTGGACAGATGCCTTCCAGCAGCAGGTCTCATCCCTAGAACAGTGAGTGATTTTTCCTATTGAAGGCGGTGCTGTCTGTCGAATTATCCCATGTAAAATGCTTGACAGTGTGTTTCTTGGCTGGAGGGAGGCTGTCATTAGTGCCAGGGAAATGCCAGCTCCCAGCTGGGGCTGAAGTAGTAAATCCTGGAGACTAGAGCTGGCTGGACTGCTCCTAGCACCTCCTTCCATCTTCTTACCATAGGAAGACGAGGAAGGAGAGTAATAGGGGCTGCTAGGACTTCTGTCACCCAACCTCACTGCTGCAGCTCATTGTGCTGGTTGTATATGAGGTGTTGTTCTCTGTGTGAACCTTCTCACATGCACATCCCCTATCATCCTGCTCCATGTTGCCTCTGAGCTACTTTTGTTTGTGGTTTTCCCCTCAGCTGTGTGGATAGCCTCCTTGCAAGGAGTCTCCCTGCAACCCCCATGCAGTTTCTAAGCACTGGGAGGTGAGGGGTATGGGGGTTAATTATTTGGCTTGTCTGTTTAAAAAGGACTAGGAGGAATGGTAGGAAGTGTGTAGTGCTGGAAAAAGATTAGCTAAGCTTTCAAACATCCCTCTGCTGCTGGGACTCTGTTCTATCTGATCCAGCCATGTTCAGGTCATTCGGTTTAATTTCTGCTGAACAAAACAGCTTTAAGTCAGGACCAGATGAACCTCTGCTTGGGGTGTCTTCAGAGCTCCTCCCACAGAAAGTGGTCTCAGGAGGGCTGTCCTTGCTGACATGGCTCTAGCAGCCATTATGTGCAATGGAGAGCCCATCTTTGGCTTGAGTTTGTTGTGTTGGAGTGCCTGCATTTGGCTTTTGGGATTACAGCAGGGTGCACATTTGGGGCAGAGGATGATGATGCTCGTGTTGGTGTGTGGAGAGGTATGCTGCCAGGCACTGTGGCAGCTTGAAAATAGAGCCAAGGTTGTATGGCCTGAAACCAGGGCACCTGGAGGCAGTCCCTGAGCCTGAGAGCTGTAAGGTGATGGTGGTGGTTTCAGACAAACCATTGGACCCATGCTCAGTGCCTGCAGGTTGTGGTATAGCTGGGGACATGGAGGGATGTCATTAGACCACAGTGTTGACCTTCTCTTTTCACTTCTAGCTCCTCAACCAAGGAGGTTGGGTCTGAATTGACAACACTGAAGGGTGCATTTGAGCAAATCAAACACGCGGCTCGGTTAGACTTCTTTTCCTTCCTTGTCCAGTGTTTTAATTCAGTCTCTGTTGTCTGTACCTCCAGCTTTTTAGATGCAGAAGTCTGATTGGATTCAGCCTCTTTGCTGAAGCAAAAATACCGTGTTCTAAAACTTTCCTGTAAGAATGACAATTGGAATGGTTTAGATTTTCATTCCCAGAGGTGTTCCCTTAACTCTGAAGGTGGATAAGGATATCAGCACCAGAACTGCTGTGCTTTGCAGCTGAATGCAGCAAGTACAAAAGCAAAGAAAGGGGCATTCCCATGGTCTTTGTCTCCATTGAACAGTGGTCACTGCTTTCAGGGTCATCATCTTGGTAGGTCTGGAGTTATATTTGGGATTTTGGTGTTTGCGATCACATTTATTTAAAAAAAAAAAAAATCCCAACAATCATCCTTTGTTCTTAGGTGGAAATTGAGCAAATGTTTTCTCCATCAGTGCAAGCCCAAGTATAAAAGCCAGAGCTTCCTAGAACTAAGCTTATTTCCAACCAGCTCTGTTGGCTCCAGTAGCTCTGCTCCTTCCAGCCAAGGCCATTCACACAGACTGTGGGCCACTGCCCAGGTCTCAGTGGCTGCTCCCACATGCGATCTTTTGGCCTCAATGCTCTGGTCCATCCTCAAATGGTCGAGGTGTCCAGCCAGGCTGCATGTCTCAGGCTTTGCTATCAGACTGGGAGGGAAAACTGAGCTCAGACTGCTGGATTTCTGTGGATAACAAGCTCTGTTTTCACTTTCTCTTTTTTAATTTTTTCCTCTTGGATGCTAAAACCGAAAATTGGACCGATTCATCAGTCAGTGACTGCAGCTAGGGTTTGGCTTTGAATGAAGCAGTCTCAGTATCCTCTCTTAAATCAGGTGGTGGGGTCCTTCTCTGTGTCTCCTGGGTGCAGCCACTCGAATAGCAAGAAGCCCATCTCCAAGGAGCAGAGCTGTGTTGTGTTGGTTGGTCGCATATCGTGTTGGGTACCACTGAGGAATCAAAAACAGCAAAGCCTGGAGAAGCTCACTGCTGCAGCCACCTGCAGCCATAGAGACCCAGGCCCTAAATTCTGGCTCTTCCAGTAGCCTGTGCCATGACTTTAAGCAAGTGCTTTTAAGCTGGTCTCTTGAAACTGCAGATCTCTGGATGTTGTTTCCCCGTTTTACGAAAAGGACTGCCCATGTCTTTCTCACTCCCCCGTGGGGAGCTGCAGGCTGTAATTAACATGCAGACCCATCATTTTGGGTGACCAGGCATTACGATTATCTTTTCTCCTTTTTTAGGTTTTGTGCAGACACAACAGGAAGTGAATCTGCTGCTGTGCGGTGGAGCGAGGCAGTAGCAGTGGGGTCAGGAGTAACTCTTTAACTCTTAGGGTGCACATTCACCTGCCAGCAGGTGCTTGCTCTTCTGGGCTGGACACCTCCATTTTGGATTGGATACCACAAGTGGACCATTGGACTCTTTGTAGCTCAAGGACCCAGCCTTCCAAATCCCTGAAGAATCACCCTAGAAGGAACTGGGATTCTTTGCAGCTGGAATCTCACCCATCTCGGGTTTCCAAACCTCCCCTTAATTGTGTTTGGCTCTGGAGTGAGTGCCCCATCCCTGAAGCACGTTCCATTCCCCCTAGCTGGAACGTCCCATCCCAGCCTGAGGAAAGCCTGCTCACCTCACTGCCCTTTTCCGTGCTCTGGAGCTGCCATGGGCCACCAAGGGCAGAGCTGTCAGTGTTACAAGTGAAGGCTGCTATGCTGTGGATAATGACCTTCGTGCTTTTTCTTTTTTTGCTCCTATGGTAAATACCTCACTTGATGTCTTCCAGGGCACCGTTTGCCTTTTCTATCACTGTTGCATTGGCAACTGATAGCTCTGAACTAATGCATCTGGGACCTGCTGCCACTTCCAGCAGCAAAGTAGCAGAAACTGCTAAATTTCAGCACTGCAAAATTAAATTCTGCTTTATTTCTCGCTTCCCTGGTCCAGGACAAAGCTTCTATTTCCCTGCTTGGTGTTTCAGTCTTTCCCTGCCATGGCAGGCTTTCTCAGTGCTTTGTCTGTCATTGGTATCATTCTGTTTTTATGCCAAGCCTGTTCCTGGAGTATTGATCCCAGAGGTGATCTAGGAGATGTTATGCTTGAAATTCACCTCCTGCCCAGCATTTCCCCTTCAAGCATTGCTTGCCTTCCAGCTGCTTGTATCCCTTACAGTTCCCCTTTTCAACTTCTTCTCTGTTTAGAAGTACGTATTTCCTGTGGCGTGCTGTATCTCATGCTGTATGTATATCTGGTGACTATCTGCCACGTATGCTCAATCTGCAGAAACTGCTTATGTTATTGATACTTTAGGTTGCATGGATATGAGCTGCACTCAGTGACGCCAGGCTGCATTTTATTCCCCTTTCCAGTTCTGCACCCCCATATTTAATCGTTTTCTTTCCATCAGACTCTTTCCTTTAGCCTTGGTAATGCTGATGTCACACTGATGGGCTTGTCACTGCCTGAATCCTGTCTCCCAGCCACAATCTTAAATTCAGGCACTGGATTTGCTGCTGTAGACACTGAGAACTTCCCTCCGTAATTAAGAGTCTCTGCAGCCAAAAGAGCGAATTCCTTCCCTAGTGCTTCCAGAAGGCTGGGATGGGCACGATCCAGTTTCTGCTCAGCTCACACATGACTGCCTGTCTTCATAATCAGCTAGTACACCTAAATAGTCACAGCTTTCAAATCCATTCCTTTTTCCAAAGAAAACTGGCAAGTCATATAAAGCCCAGATCCTGCTGTGTTATTGATGTCACACCACTGCAAGAGAATGGCTTTGGTTTTGATGGGCTAGCACAAAAATCTGGGCTGTAGGGGAAAGAGAGAGGGAGAGTGTTGTCTTTCCAAGCTTCAAAGGGAAGACTAGAAGTACAGGAGGCTCCAAAATGAGCTCCTTTTCAGCCTCTTCTCATTCCGTGATTTCTAATCAGTGTTACTGCTTTAGCATGGGATTTGATGCTCTGTCCCTGCTACCCTCTTGCTTCATACTTTGAAGCTGCAAAGGACAAATGTAGTACTTCCTTCTGCCTGTCTCAGTGAAAAGCATTTTGGATTCAGATGAGGGATGTATACTGTCTTTGTACACAAATGGTGATCCAGTGGTTGCTGGGGATTGATGTTTTGTCACCTTTAAAAATGGGATATGCTTTGGCTAACTGACATCTCTGCTTACGGATGCAATTACAGCAGTGCTAAATTTCTGTGGATTACCAATGCGTGTGGTGGAATCCAGGATCCTCAGTAACAAGCTATGAAGTCAGGAGGACAGCCAGCATGCAGAGATCTTGGCAGCTCCCTTGTGATGGAAGATCCTGCTGTACTCAGGGCTCCAGTGCCAAAATGCAGCACAAACCATTAATATGCTCTGATGATACTCCCTCCTAGACACTGTCATATATATCAGTATTCCTTGGCCTTCCCAAACTGCTTGGAGTCCCAGGAGCATCCCAGGAATGGGTAACAGATGGTACAGGGATGAGGAGACTCTATTTCCATGAACTGCTTCTTGCTGTCCAGGCTGCATCCCAGACCTAATGGAAGAGACAGGCATAGATGAAGACAAGCCTTTCCCCTGCGTGTTTGGTTTCCTCTCCAGCTGTGCAGCTCAGCCTGCTGTAGATCACTGGGGCTCAGTTTTCTTAAGGAGGGCTGTTGCCTGCTTGGGCTGAGTGGTATAGGGACAGAATGGGGAGAGACCTCATTATGGGATTAGATGACAAGGCGGTCAGAGTGGGTAAGAGATGTTTTGTGTTCAAACTGGGATTTTGAGCTGGGTGAGGAGCACAAGCCCACACTGCTCTGAGTCACGCTGGTGTGAGCTATGTTGTAGCAGCTTCAGGTCACCCTGGGCTTATGTCCCTTGTCAGAAAAGTTTTGGATGATGCACGAGGTAACCTTGAAAACAAATGCTTCCACATTGCCTTTGCTAAGGATAGGAGCAGCGCATGCAGTGCCCACACTGTTAACTCTAACCCACTTGAGTTCAGTGCTCTTTGCTCACAGCTGGGAGATGCAGGCAGCAAGTTCAATCCCATTCCTTTCAACTTGCAGGAAGCTGAGCTGGAAAATATGAAATAGGATCTGCTGGGTTCAGTGCCCCCAGCCCAGGCTGTGAGTGTTGGGTCCTCCGCTTGTATCTCGTTAGCACTGAGGCCATTTCCCCCTCCTGTGGGGTAACTGGTACAAGGCAGTGAGGAAGGAACAGCTCCTCACTGAGTCATGTTGTGACCCATGGTGCCACAAGAAGCATTCTTTCCCATGTAAAACGTGCTGGTGATGAAATCGTGTGAGTTCAGCCAGGCATTTCCCCTAATTACAGCCTGAAGGAGTGACGCTGACACTGGGTGGCTTTGTGCTTTGGAGCAGTTTTCATGTAGGCAAAATGTGAGCATGTGGGAAACGAGATAGAATTTGGAAGCAAAAAGCCTCGGTGTTAGAAACTTTCATGTTAACAGAAACGGTGTGAGTGATGCCTGGCTCTGCCTGTGGGTTCCTACGTGGACATGGATCCCACTGTTCTCAGATGCTCTTAACAAGCTGTTCTCTTTCTATATGGCCTTTGATGTGTTTAAAGGATGTCTGGATCTTTTGCACCCTAACTGTATGTTTTATTGAAAAAATAAGGGGGAGGAACAACCATTATTTTCATTGAAAGTCCCACACTACTGAAATTTTGTGCTGGTGGCTGTGGCTTTTCATTATTTCATATAAATCAGTCATTTCTTTTTACTAAAGCCCAGTGAAGAGTTTACAGTCTACTTGACGTGTTGATAGCATTTGAGAACAGGTGAAAGGTAGAAATGACAATGGAAAAACACCATCTATGGTGGGGAAAAAAAACCCATCTCCCTCCACAGCTGAGCATCTTTCCCTAGAACCACTTGGGGTCACCTCTCTTTGGGGGACATCACCACATCTCCATGTGGCCCCTATCACCAGTTTGGGCATCACCAGATAGGCTGAGGGAGGCAGCCCCCAACCCCTCTGATTTTTGTTTTCTCTCCCTTTGCAGCTGCAGAAGACGGGGCTATGAGGACAGCCTGGCAGGGGAAGGCCGGTCGCAGCCCACTCCAGGCCCTGTATGAGAGCGATCAGGTGAGGGGATGGGGTGAGGAAGTTGGGGTGAAGGGGGAGTGGGATGAACCTTTCTTTCATCCCTCCAAAATGTGTGGCACCAGTCAGCCCAGTGTCCCACACCAGAACGTCTAGCGGTGTCCAGAAGAAAGGACCACACTTCTGATATGGTCTTTGTGGGTTCCTTCCAAGGATCTCTATGCGTGCACATATACATTCATAAATACATTTATATATAAAGCTGCTGTTGGCCATGAAGCATTTATAATCCTGGGTCGTTTCAGTTCTCTCTATCATCTTGCCTGTGCCCACTGAGATATGGGGCCTTGGTAGGTCCCTGCCCACGTGGGACTCTGTTGCAGCCAGGGCCAGATCCCTTCCCATGCTTGACGCTGGTGTTCCAAACTAGGGTGGTGCTTTCATGTCTGTAAGCAGCTGAATTACATTTGCTTTGGGAAAAATGGCTAATGTGGACTTCCTTAGCCATGATGCCTGCATACCCTAATTCTGCTGGAATGTCCTGGTGTTGTTTCCTTATAAGTGATGCTTAATTTCTCTGGCTTTTAGAAGGAAAGGAAATGAAGGGAGCAATTTTACTCTGAAATAACTGACAGACATGCACTTATTCCAGTGGGCAGCTCTTGAAAAGTAGTCGCATTTATTTGTTGCCATGCCTGCAGACAGTGTCTGTCTGTCTTTCTGTCTGTCTTTCCATTCCTATAGTTTTGAATTATGTGAGTGCAGGGAAAAACACCTGAAAAAAACCACACTGTTAAAATGCTTGGGGTTTTTTTTAGCACTTTCAAGAAGTGTTTCCAATCTAAAAAAATGGAGGGCAGCCTCCAAACAAAACCTAGCAAGAGAAATTTCTACCAGAAAGTTTGGCTCAGTAGCATGGTGTGCCATGAAAGCACCTCTTCATGTATGATCACCACCTTCTTAGATTCAACGTTCCTCGTATTCAGATTGCCAACAATGTCAACATCTCTTGGTAGCACGTGGGATGTGTTGGCTTTGCAGGAGGAGGTTTTTTTGCCCAGGTGTTAGTCCCTCCTCGAAGGTGAGGACTGCTGAATCCTGTGTGGTGTGAGCAGTTTGTTTGAGCATCCCACCTCCCCATTGCTGCCTCTCTCATGTTCTGGTGGCCACCCAAAACCCCCATCCAGACCTCCAGTGAGAAGAGAGGGTGCGGCTGAAGCTTGGCACAGAGCATCCTTTGGCATGCGTAAGCCATGCCAGCCACCTGCAGCAAGGATGCAGGGATTGAGGAGGTGGCCTGCTCTTACCCTTCATCTTGTGTTGGATGCCAGAGAGACCCACAGGCTGCAGGGACAACTATGGAACTATTTGTTTCCAAGTAGACTATCTGCATGGCCTAAAGTGGAAGCCGCTGTTGTCTTGCGACACAGGGGTCATTGCACTGCACTGGAGCAACAGTGGGGTCAGAAATGGAGGGTAAAACCGTTAGCATCTGTGGACAAAATGAGGCTTTTGGGAGGTTCCTGACCTTGGCGCTGAGTGTGAAATCTGCCAGTCTCAGTGAGGAGAAGGCAGAGGGAGCAGGCAGCAGGAGGAGGGGACTTTCCCCTTCTGAGTTCCTTGAAATGGTTTCGTTCCCCGGATGCGACAGTGTCATTCTGGAGTTTCTGATGAAAAGCAAGACAGGAAAGGTCACATCCCCAGATCAGCTGCAGGGGGATTTCAGCTGGGGTGATTCCAGAGAGGTCACGGCAGCAGCTGCTGGGCCACGGTGCAGGATCATATGGGAGGAGAGGAGGGGAAGAAGGATGACTTATGGAAATCTCTGAACTGTCTTGCCTTAAGGGAGACCACACCCTGAGCTGAGACACTGGAGTGGCACGTGTGGTGAAGGAAGTCCTTCAAGCAAAGGGGGTCAGGAAGGGTATTCCCACCACCTCCAGTTCTTTGTCTGCACCACAGGGTCTGTGCTGAAGGCTCTTTGCCTCCATCTATCCCTCCGTTTTCACAGCACACCATGATGAGTTTTTGTGCATGCCCACACTCATGTGCCGTAGTTCTGCTTTGAGCTGTGGCTCCCAGATTCACAGCAAGCCCACAGGCATTGACATCAGATGGCAGTGCCCCTTCACAGGGAAGTGTGTGGGACCCTGTGCCAGCAAAGGGACTTCATTGTTGTCCCGTGGGGTTTAGGCCATGCATGTCCCCAGTCTGATACAAGGGAAGGAGCTTCAGCCCAGTGCTGAGGTGGCAGTAACAAATACTTTGTGACCCTTTCTGCACTCCTGGTTTTCCCTCACGCCCTTGGCTTGTCTTCTCATCCTGCTCATCAGATTTTTTTTCTTTATTTTGCCCCCAGCAGGTCCAAGCATTAAATACACCAAAGCAAGTTGAGCTCAAAGTGATTACTGCCTCCAAAAAGCCCACAGAAGGCCCCCTCCAAAAACAAAAAAATACCAGGAAAGGGAAGGTGATGGGAACAGTTGTGTGTAGGTCCTCATAGGCACGGGTGAGCCAGTGACCGTCTCTTTCTTTTTCCACAGTTTGAACAGTCGTCACTGCAGGCGGTTCACCAGCAGCGACGGGAGCTGTTGAGCAACGTCTGCAACCGTTACACCCGCAAGCGGCGGCTGCTGCGGCCGGATGACTTGCGGCACTTGGTGGTGGATGACACGCACGGGCTGCTCTACTGCTACGTGCCCAAAGTGGCTTGCACAAACTGGAAGCGGGTGATGATGGTCCTGACGGGGCAAGGCAAGTACCGCGATCCTCTGGAAATCCCTGCCAACGAGGCCCACGTGTCGTCCAACCTGCACACTCTCTCTGAATACAGCATCCCCGAGATCAACCACCGCCTGCGCAGCTACCTCAAGTTCATCTTTGTGCGGGAGCCATTCGAGCGCCTGGTCTCGGCCTACCGCAACAAGTTCACCCGCAGCTACAACACTGCCTTCCACAAGCGCTACGGGACCAAGATCATCCGGCGGCACCGGCAGGAGCCCAGCGACAAGGCGCTGGAGCGCGGGGATGACGTGCGCTTCGAGGAGTTCGTCTACTACCTGCTGGATCCGCGGACTCAGCGGGAGGAGCCCTTCAACGAGCACTGGGAGCGCGTGCACTCGCTCTGCCACCCCTGTATCGTCCACTACGACGTGGTGGGCAAGTATGAGACCTTGGCCGAAGATGCCAACTACATCCTCCAGCTGGTGGGTGCCGACACGACTGTCAAGTTCCCGTCCTCGTCCAAGACCACCAGAACCACGGACGACATGACGGCCCAGTTCTTCCAGGACATTAGCCCCTTCTACCAAAGAAGACTCTTTAATTTATACAAAATGGACTACTTGCTCTTCAACTACTCCATCCCTTCTTACCTCCGCATCCGATGAGGCAGTTGCTGGGAAGAGAGGTGGGGAGAGCTGCGTACTTCTCATCTTGCCACAACTCCTCCCACCCCGTGCTCATCTCTCGGTTCTCCCCATGCCCTCTCCATTACATTGTGTTCTGTGTGCCTCATTCAGGCACAGTTTGGAGGGAGAATACCCCGCAGAACACTGGGGCTGGAGTTTCTCCTTCCCTTTCTCTCCCAGCCCCTGACTTTGGCACTTGTCAGTGGGTACAGGAAGCTACTGCCTTGGAGGGCTTGCCTTGCCTGGAGTTTTTCTTATGATAAGAGATTCCTCTGTAGATTCAAGTCTTGGGAAGGGTCCTTTTTCTGGCAGGATCCTTTTGGGTGTTTCTCCTCCTCACTGGGCTGTTTGGGGTCAGCCTGGGGAGCAGGATGGAGCTTGTCAGAGATTTACCTAGGACCAGAAATAAAGCAATAATGTAAATTTTTCTTGTTCATTTCAAATTGCTCCCACCTTCTTCCTGCCTTCTCGTCCCTCCATCCTGGCTTCCTGAGCCATCTCCATTGCTGTGGAGGGTGGCGACGTAAGCTGCATTTTGTTCTGACAGAGCCTGGAGGGCTTTTTGTTCCTCTTCTTCCATGTGCTCTCAGCTGGGATGCAAAGTGCTGTGAATGGGGAGAAAGAAGCAGATGTGCAGCTAGTATGAGTGACAGAGATAGAGCGATTTCTCCTGAACGACAGCAGCAGAACCATCGATCTGTGCGTATGTGCATCTGGATTTCTTGTCAAGTCCAATAAATCCAGGTTCAGTTTTTTTGTTTTTTCTTAATTATGTAAAAACAGGTATTGATTGTTTTGCAAAGCCATATATCCAGAACAGGTGCAGGTACACCCACTTGGCACGAAGGGATGGAGGAAGAGCGTCCTGCAGAGAAGGTGATGTTGCATTGGGAAGGCTGGAGGGGGGGGAGAGAGAGAGAGAGAGTGTGTGTGTGTGTGTGTGAGAGAGAGAGAGAGAGAGAAAGATTATTTACGTATGTGCATCAGAAAAAAATAGAGAATTAAAAATGGGGACAGAGACACCTAGAGGAAAATTCCCCTTTGCTTGACTGGCTTCGGACAATTCACTCCTTGAAGAAGAAACAGGAGGAGGGGGAAATAAAAAAGAAAATGACAAACCCGGTCCTGGGGTTTTAAGTTCAAACCAGTCCTAGGAGCTTTATTTTTTTAAATCCATATTTAAGAACTTTTTCTGTTCAGCCCTGGCTAGGTGGCTGCCTTAGTAAATAAACGCAGCGGTAATAGAATTTGCTGTAGTGTGTCTGCTGGCCCAGCTGCGAGCACTTGACTTATTAGTGCAATACAATGGAGGTTTTATAAAACCCCAGTGTGCTCAGACTGTTTTAAAAAATAATGTTTTCATCTAACAACTTTTGGCTGTTACATCTTAACCTTTTTTGCTCTCTGATTCTGATCTGAACCTTTCTCCTGACATTCCCCCCTTGGTTATGCAGTTTGGAGAATGGGTTTAGCAAGCATTGAAAAAGAAAAGGAAATAGAATCGTTGGTGATGCTGGCAGCCTGAGTGGTTCTCCTAGAGCTGGAGCTCTTGCAGAAATGGCCTTTCTGGAGATGAATCTCAGAGCACAGAAACAGCTGATGGGATGCTGCAAGTGTCAGCATTTGGACTCTGAGTGTATTCCTTCTGTGTTCTTGGGAGTCTTGCAATCCCTGGTAGTGCTGCCTGCTGTTGAAAAGAAATCATAGTTCCAGTCACCACAAGCTCTTGGTCATTTGGGGTCAGTCAGCATCACAAAGGAATGGAGTTTTGGATGGATTTGTGCTCTTGATTACCGTGTTCTGCAGGTGGCTGGTGGCACATTGAGTGGCAGGGACAAATAAAGCCTCGCTCCTGTGGGTGTGCATGCTGCTGGCTGGGAGAGCTCTGCTGTGACAGCAGGGAGCCAGCAGCCAGGCTTTGTCCATGTGATGGTGACTGGTGCTGGCTGGGGTGTTCCTTCCCTCTGCATCGTGTCCCCAGCATCCCCAGCAAGTCCCTGCCTTGTCCAGTAGGGCCGCGGCCTACCTGTTGCATTCTGTGATATGCTGTCTTTGGGCCTGTGTGTTCGGATATACCTACTTTGGGGCTTTTTCTGCAGTTAAAATCCAGTGCATTTAGGTAACGGCCTTCCTTATGTCTAAACATCACTCCCCAAAGCACAGCATGACAGTGACAGAAAATGGCAGCATGGAGCGGGTGGTGATGGAGCGAGGAGGACACCGTGTGACAGGAGGGGATAACTGCAGGTGTGACGCCTGCAGGAATTTGTGTTGGAATCCAGTTCTCCCAGCGGCTTCTATTTTTAATTATCTGTTCTCCTGCACCCCTTCTTCTTGCCAGATAAGAAATTATCAGGGTGATTGGATGAGAGGTCATGGCCTTAAGCTGCCCCAGAGCAGGCTCAGGTTGGATATTTGGAACATTTTCTTCTCTGAAAGAGTGGTGATGCAGTGGCACAGGCTGTGCAGGGAGTGCTGGAGTCACCATCCCTGGAGATGTTGCAGAACCACAGAGATGTGGCACTGAGTAATGTGGTCAGTGGGCATGGTGGGGGTGGGTTGGGGTTGAACTTGGTGATCGTAGTGGTCTTTTCCAGCCTTAATGATTCTGTGGTTCTCTACCTCTTCTCAACCTAGGGCTGGGAGCATAATCCTTGGTGTTTCTGCACCAGGGCAGTGATGGGTCAGGGCAGGACGAGCTGTGGACCAAGCTGCCAAGGTCACCCCAGCAGTGGGAGCCCAAGACTAACAGAGTAAATCAAGTGAGCTGTGATAATCACACACGGCTTGGCCTCAGGCAAGGAACAACCTTGCAAACTCTCTTTGAACCCTCCCTTCTGCAACTCCCCCATCAAGTGCCTATTAAAAATTAATAATTAAAACCCAAGAACCATGAAGCAGCATTCAGACCTCTGAGTCACAGCTGAGACAGGGCAGTGGGGTTTGGTGTGAGGCTTTGGGAGCTGCTATGGAACTCTCAGAGCCCCAGGGATGCAAAAATAAAGAACAGCATAACTTTTCTACATGTTTGTGTGCATGCACACGTATACAGTGTAAATAACAATTCTTTTATAATGTATAATAGAATTATTTCAAATAATTGTAATATTTATATGTTAATACATGGACTATATGTAATAAGTATGTGTATAAAATTTGTTACCAGAATAATTAAATAGCAAACAGGATTGTACTATTCTGTTCATAGCGTGGTTATATTTGTATAGGAGTGCGATGCTTGATTGGTGTGTGTACATGTACTATACAAACACATGTACACAAACAGAAAACCCTTCCCCATAAAAGAGGAGCCTCTTCCCCTGTTGAGCCTTCCTACAGGCCAACAGACTCAAGTTCTACTGAGCAGGAGCTTTCTTTCCCAAGCTCGCTGTGTACCGAAGCTTGGGTTGTTTACCAGCTGGAGGATTAAATAGACTTCCATTGAAGGGAAAAAAAAATATGCAAGTGTTTTCAAGTATGCCCTGGAAGTGGTGTTTCGCTTGAAGGAGGCTTTTCAGACTTGCTTGTGTTTGCTGGCTTGCACTTATCCCTGGTGAGGATGCTGTGTCCTGAAAAAGTAGTTTTTTTCTGGAAAAATACGAGGATAGAGGCAGTGAGTCGAAGGTAAATCCTCTCTTGCCTTGTCCTCTTAAAGGAATTTGCTTATTTGGGAGCCGTTGAGGAATAAATAAAAATAAAGGTCACTGTCAGCTCAGTTAGGATTCTTAGGGGTGATGGGGAGGCACAGCCCAGCCCAACCCTGGGCACATTGATGACACAGACACAACAGCTGAGATTCTCCTGTTGGTTAGATTAAAGGCAGAAATCACTGCAAAATGGCTGTTCTCTGCCTGAGCTCTGATACCCACGTCTGCTCTGAAGCTGTGTGAATTTCATGGAGCAAAGCAAGACCCCTCCACCCCCCACAGTGAAATAACTCTGGCAAACACCCCAGGTAGCACAAAGCTAGGCAGGGCCTGCTGGGATTTACTGAAGGCTTTAAAAGCAGAGGATCCTGCAGGCATTTAACACCAAACCTCTGCTTTGAATGGGAGGGAAATACTTGGCTACCTTTGCAGTCCCAGCAGTGCTGCCCATCACTGCGTGCTCAGCCTGGGAGAAGCAGGCTGAGGTGCAGGTTCAGGAACGCTGATCCAAGCTCTGCTCCAGGGTACCATACTGCCTTTGTCAGCAAGTGCTCTCTCTCATTTGCACCAGGAAAAAGAGAAAAGGAGGAAGGAAAAAATGTAAACAGTCTGCGTGGCCAAATAACTGGCCTTTTGCTGCCCCTGAAAAAGGGGGAAAAAAAACCCAACCCTTTTATTAAAACCATGTCCTTTGGTTATGTCATTGGTCTTAAAGCTGGAAGCAATTTTAAGTGTGCTCCCCACACTGAGTGCACAGGCACAGGGCTGACATTGGCTGCCCACTGAGTACTGCACAGAGAAAAGAGCCCCTGCGATGCACCCACCCCAGGTTCCAGCACCAGCATCTCTGTCCTGAGCCCAGCATGGGTCCACCCCCAGCCCAGCTGAGTAGCACAAGTAGGGCACAGATGGCCCCCATTACATGTTCCTGACTTTGCCTTCTGTCAACAGTTAAAACCACAGCACACAGAGTTCTGCCCAGGAATCACCCAATGAGGAATGACCCGGTGCCAAGGTGTTGGGTAATGGAGACTGATGCTGGAGGACCATAACCAGATCGCTGCACAGCTCTGGTTGGGGGCATTTGGGGGACTGGAGGGGACATGGGCAAAGCTGTGCTCTTAAAGGAGAGCACCTGAGAGCATGCAGAGGGCTGGGAGGATCTGCAACCCAGCCTTGCCCTATTCATATCCGCTGCAAAAGCATCAAGGCTGGAGAGGACCTCTCCAAAGCAGCAGGGACAGGCAGCAGAGTGGGGAAGAGAAAGATGGAGCAGGAGAAGTCATTTGCCAGGACTGCTCCAGACAGCACCAGATTGAAGCTAACAAGGGTGTACAAAATAAAGTGCTAAGCTCAAGTTATTAAAATGTGTATCTCTTAGTGCAGCTCCCTCAGAGTGAGAATGGCAATCAGACCCTTTCTGTGCTACCCTGCGAGCCCCATAACCACTCAGTGCAGCTGTGTGCTTGGGGCTGACAGGTGGTGGGGAAAGAGAAAGGGAGAGAGGATGCTCCAAACTCTGACACTTCCCTGCCACAGAGCTGCTGCAAACACATCCTCCAGCTCAGTTGTGTGGGGTTATTTATCCTTCAGGAGGCTGGGAAAGGTAACAGCTTGTTTTTGTCCAGAGAGTGCTATTCCCCATGCTGAGTCTCCCAGCACTGAGGTCACCCCTGTGCAAGACCCCAGCCCTGCAGCAGGAGCAAAGGAACACTCACATCCAGCAGTCACCTAACACAGCAATTCCCAAGTACTGAAGAGCTGGCAGGGCCTTGAGCAAGACAAGGTTCCTTGACCCTCTCATCTCCCTGCTCCAAAACACACAAATGCAGGCTATTATTATAGGCAAAGTCCAGTGCAATTTGAACTACATTGTCAACTCCCAACTCCTAAGCATCTTGGAAGAAGCTATTGCTGCTTCGATTTCAGTCAGAATTGACTGCCCTCAGCCCCATGGGCCACCCCAGTACATTGCTGGGAAAACACGATAGCCACCCTGCACTGAGGATGCAAAGAGTCCTTAGCCAAATTCCCATCCTTATGCACACACATGGGTCCCAAATTCATTGTGCAAAGGAAGGATGGTGAGGTTGGAGAGGCAATAAGCTTTAATTCTAACCTGAAACATGGGCTGCCAAAGTCCATCGTTGGTTAGGAAACACCAATTTTGCTGAAGTCCTATTTGAATTGTGTTGTCCAACACTGACTGGAAGAGAGAGTAGCAAACAAGAACTTCATAGAGTCATATAATCATTGGAGTTGGAATGGACCTTTGAAAACCATCTGCTCCAATCCCTGCAACGCATATGGACACCTACAGCTCCATCAGGTGCTCAGAGCCCCTCCAGTCTGATGTTGAATATCTCCACGGATGGGACATCCACCACTGTGTCAGTGCCTCACTGCCCTCACTGCAAAAAGCTTTTTCTTATATCCAATCTAAACATCCCCTTATTTAGTCTGAAACCATTTACCCTTGTCCTATCAGACCCCACTAAAGAGTCTGTCCCCTTTTTCCTTATAGCTTCCTTTTAGATACTGAAAGTTCCACCTGCAAAGTCTGAACTAGAAAGAGGTAGAGCCACAGCAAAGTAAAAACAGCCCTAAATCCACTGCATGGCATTTCTTAACCACTTTATTCGTGTGTGTGTGCGTTTCTATAAACATTTTAGCTAATGGACATTTCATAAACCGTAAAAACAAACCCAAAGCTCCTGCTCCCAAAACACAATAAATCCAGCTGGTCAGACAGCAGCAATGGTGCTGCGCAGGTAGGAGCTGTCTCTGTATCCTCCCACCAGGAGCCAGCAGGGCTCAGAGCCCATGTGTCTGAGTGATGGAGAAGGGAAAAGTTTAAAGACCAGGGTGCTCTCCTCCTCCAGGGAGAGAAAAGGGGTGAATGAACTATTTGGACTGTGAATGAGATTTGGACGGAGATGTGACATGGACTCACGGGATCAGATGCAGCCAATTCAGCAGGCTTTAGAGTGGCCTTGCAGGCTGTTTTGGTGCTGGGGACTGAAGCCAATCAAAATGCTCATCACCATATGGCACCAAATTCTCCTTAATGCTGCACTGGCTGGGTGCAGGTGTGAGCAGCGGGTGCCGCTTAAAACCAGCTTGCTCACGTGCAATGGTACAAAAGTCTGGGGGTGCTGACTCCTCCGGACGGGCAAGCCCAGCTTAAGGCACGATGGGGAGGAGAGGCAGGGCGGTGGGGTCCAACCCAGCCTCCAATGTCCCAGAGAATTGTGCCGTGTCGGATCAGTGACGTGGAGCAGCACGCAGTCCTTCAGTTGCCCAGGTTCATGTCTGCACCGTGAATGAGCCAAACCAGACGGAAACAGACGGCAAGGAATCCAGTGCCCAGGAGATCCCCCAGGGCAGTGAGGTAGGGGATGGAGAAATTATCGGGATCCAACGCCTTCCTCCACATCAGGCGCACAATGAGGTCGGCCACGTAGAGCAGGATTCCCACCTGGAGAGGCAACACAGGCACTACTGTGAGTAACAAGAAAGCAACGCACAGCCTCCATCAGCTCACAGGCAAAATGTTGTGGCCATGGGCAAAATGACATGACCACAGCCAATGTGCCGGAGCCAATAAGCATCTCTAAGAGGTCTCCACCTCACCAGAGGATCAGTGTTTCTCTGCAGGAAGAGGTTGCATCATGTGGGTATAGTTGGCTTTTGCATCCCTGCAAACCCTACTGGCTCATGTCCTTGGGCACTGCATTGCCCAGTATCACCTATGGTGCCAGAGCCCCCTGACAGCTGTCCTGGTGTAAGTTCATCAGCATTGCATGGGCCAAAAACAGGAGTCTGTCAACACCAAAAGCATCTCTCAAACGCACTCTTCTCACTTCCCATACCATGAATGCTCCTATTTGCTCCTATTCACTCCAGCAGGAACGGGACTGCTGCAAATATGCATGCAAACTCAAAGTATAAGTTTGTGGCCAGATTCTTTTCTCCTTCTTTTCTCTTTTCTTCCTTTGTTTTTTTTTCCATTAGAAATTCAGATCTCATTTACTTGGTTTTGCCTAATCTCAGTAGACAACGGGAGTTTGAGGCAGATTTTACATCAAAGTTATCCCAAGCAGCACTGACACATTAAAAAGAGAAAAACATTTCTTTTTTTCATCTCAACAATTTCAAAATCTTTGCTGTGATTTCTTTTAATTCCTATTTAGCTCCTGATTCTGATAAACAGATGGAGGAAAAAAAAAAAACTTCTCTTAAAGATTAAAGACCATCTAGTTAATTGAATTAAGAGGGGAGAGAGAGAAAGTTTGCAATCCACTTCTGTGGTCCCTCCATAGGAGACCACAACCAAATAGGAACCAAAGGCAGAGCTGGCAGTTCTAAGGGAGAGGTGGGAGGAGAGACAGAGGGTGCAAATTAAATAAGCAGAATCACAGAAACTAAAGCTGGATAGAAGCTAAAGGGTTTTATATAGTCCTCCTTACATTTGAAACCCAGAATGTCATGTTTCATTTCTGGTGACCACAGAGAAAACATTAATCTGTCTCTTCCTACAGAAACTCAGCAGTTTAAACAAAGGCTGTTACCAGATTTTTCCCAAGCCTCTCCTCTTTAGACCAGCTAACCCCACTCCATTCAATTCTGAGGTCATATTTTCTGGGCCTCTGATCTTTCTCTCTGGGCTTCCTCTAGTTGACCCAAACTTCCCCCTCTCATTCTTTCTGGTTGCATTTATAAATTCTAATGGAGAGAAAGAATGAACCAGGCTGAGCACATTCTGGGCTCCCTGGGAGTCTTCCTGGGTCAGTGGCGTTGCTGGGATTCTGCTCTTTACTCTGTCATTTATTCAGCCTATTTTCACACTTGGCTTTGGTTGAGGAGTCACCTCAGTGAATAAAGAAAAGAATAAATATTTTTCTTTGCAAGGACAGCTGTGGTGCCGGGCTTAGGGTTGTGCAAAGGTCAAGAAAAACTGATTGTTTACACATGCAAGGAATTTACCCGTGGACACACAACTGTTTGTAAGGCAAAGTGAGAAGCCAGTTACCTCGCCCTGCAACCTAATGAATCACTGATTTAAAAGGGCAAGCAAAGCCAGAGCCTCTGTGACACGCACATGCATTTCTGAATGAGACAGCAAAGTTTACAGAGCAATGAAAACAGTGAAAGGGAACAGGCAGAGCAAATTGGATAACTGTCCATTGCTGACCCAGAACCTTCGCTTTCAGAGATGAGCTTCCCAGAGCTGGGCTTTTTCCCTTCACTACTGACACATTTGGCCCTGTCTGGAGGGATCCCCGTGTCTTTACTGTGATTTGTAAAACTGGTTTCAAAATGAGTGAGGAAACCTGCTGGCTGGGGCTCATGGCCTCCCACTTGCTCCTTACTGGGATGACCAGTCACAGCCTAGGAATAACTGGGGCTTAGAAACTCAAGGAATGAATATGGTTAAAAAGGTCCAACATATAGCAAAAGGTACCTGCTTGCTATGTTTCCCTGCTTAATGCAGCTCAGCTTATGATAGTAATTTGTTCCTCATCTCATCACTAATCCCTCACTTAAAGGTAGCTGCACACTTATGGGAAAATTAGACCTTTGCAATCTGGGTATACAGAAGATAGAGGATGCTACACCTAAAATGAGTGGGGTCATTGCTAGCAGCCTGTCCAGCTAAGAATGTTTTGTTTTCATGGTATTTTTTGGATGAGAGTTTGGGGCTTACCTGCAGCAAAGCAGCAGTCAGATAAAACATCACAAAGGTGAAGGACAGAGATGTGTGGCCTCCTTGCAGCAGGTGGATGGTGTAGAGGAACACGAGGTGCCCTGGGACAACCAGGAGGAACAGGACTCGAGCTGACTTGGAATTCACCTCTGCAGAGGACAGACAGAAACAGTGATCGCAGTGGCTGCAGATGGTGGGGAGAGGACAGAACACGGCTGCGTGATGCAGTGATGGTAGGCAGAGTTGGGGCTGTCCCCTCCCACCAGACACATTGCTAATGCCTTTGCAGCAATTTGGAGCATCTGCAGCATCAACCCAGCATTTCTGTCTGTCACTGAAAACTGTGCCAAAGACGTGCTCCATGCTGATCCTCTCACTCTACATCTTTCACACACTCCTCTTCAGCAGCTCTCTGCCTCCCACTGATCCTGCTCTTGCTGCAGCCCACTTCCCCAGTTTTCAGTCTGCTCCAGCAGTAACTCCCAACCTAGCAGGGAAAATCAAGGGGAACCTGAAATCTGAAAGGACAACAGACTGAAATCCACTTTTGCCAATGTTTATGTTTATCCATTACTGAACATGGAGGAATTGTTGATTTTCAGCAAAGTTATGCTCTATTCGCTCCCCTTTCCACACTTGATGGCTCTAGGCTGGCCATGGGTAAAACAACCTTCCGTTGGATAACATTTGGGATTCCTTTTCAATTACTTTAAGTGCTCCCCGAAGAACAGTTTCTTACATGTTAGGGAGCAAGTATGGGTTGATGGGTTAATGGTTGGACTTGATGACCTTAGAGGTCTTTTCCAACCTTAATGATTTCATGACTCTAAGTACACAGAAAAGCTTTTTTTCCAAGCTCCCACTGCACAGATGTTGCTCTCCAATCTGAGGATTTTCCCTGCAAGGGAGAAAGGGAGTTCTGCCTTTGAAACCCACCTAGTCCTTCTCCAACCAGGCTGGATAAAGGAGCTATCTGTGATGACGGGCCTTGAGACATGGACACCTAGGTTTCAAGGTCTACCTGATGAGAAGAATGTGGTGCATGGATTGGGCCAATTCTGCCTCATCTTGTATGGCAAAACTCCAGGCATGCTCCAGAAATGTAGGAATGTGGAAATGCGGCTGGCCTGGATGGCGACCAGATTCCCTCCAACACCTATGAGGACAAAACAGAGTAAACCTGTAAACCACCTGTACTGCGGCAGGAAATCCAGCCTTAAACTTAGCCCAAGATGTGTCATTCACTTACAAACTCTCTGGGAACAGCAGTGAGAGAAGGGGAAAAATCTGATCCCACTTGTCATGGTGATGCTGTGCTATTCACCTGGCAGGAACAGCTTTTAAAAATCAAGAAGGCTCCAGTGACCATCTCCTTCTGAATGCTTTATTGGAAACATTTTCCCTGGCTTCCCAGCACCAGCAGCAGATGCAACGTGGCTTCTGAAGATGATGCAATTGCACCTGGTTTGATGCAGTCTCTGAGAAACACCTGGGGAAAGCAGTGCAGGCAATGGCAGCTGCCGCTCACGGTCATCTTTTGGATTTACTCAGCCAGAGAAGCATTATTGTTTAAAAGACAACAAACATGGAGAATGATTATGTGTCTGTCTAAAGGCATCTGACACACTTGTCAAATGAGAAGAAATCATATGAGAATGAATCAGAGCCCAAATATGCTAGGTAATTAAAAGGCAATTAATTCCTTCCAGATTGATTAATTCCAGCAAACGTGAAAATGCTGCTATATTTTTTCAGCAGAAAATAGAGGGCTGATGATCTGTGGAGCAAATCTCCACCACCCTGAGTGTGTGCAGGGTAGAAATGACACAGAAAATTAACAGTGATCCAGATTCTACAGGCTTCTCACGTTTTCCCTGCCTTGCAGAAGGAAATACCTCATTGTTAAATGTGAGATTGACCTGAGTGGAATTGAAGGATGGGAGCTTTCTGAAACATACTTTGCAGGATTCCCCTGCACATGAAAAGCACAGAACTACCTGTACAAAAACACAGGGCATAACTGAGAGCAGCTCTGCCAAACAGTCCACCCAACCCCACATACTGGTGTCTGGGTCAGCCATTGTTCAGCACAACTGCTGTTGACGTACTTTCTTAATCAAGCTCTTTGGCTAACCATGCTGGAAAGAGATTGTCAGCAAGGCGTCTGTCTTCATGCAGATCCAGAAGGCGACAGCTGGGTGACGCCCTCTGACATTGCAAGAGGACACCATGCTTTGGCAGTGGCACGAGGCCAAGCCTTCCCTAGGAACATGGATTTTCCCTGGAATGAGTCTACAAGAAATACTGTAATGGTAGAAAAACAACCCAGTGGATCCTCTGAGATGCCAGCATCCCTGGTAGTTTATAGGTATGCATTCATGTGTGTATAAGAGAATTGTGAGACTTCATACAAATATAAATATACACACCAAATATATATATAATCTATATATATCATCTTGTATACATACACACATATCTATAATCTTAATATATTAATCTTTATCAACAATCTGTAAAGGCAATGATTGCACAGCTCAAATTGCTGAGTGGAGAGAGACATAGTAAATGGATTTATTGTGACATCCGTAGCAGATATGATATTATGAAAGTGAAGGTGTCAGCACTGCTATCACAGATACCCATCAGATGCTGTTAACCTTTTCAACAGCTCTATCATTTTTCAGACCTGCCTGCTATTTTGCACCAGAGATGCTTCAAAATACAAATAAGTAGGGATGTAATGGGGACCAGTAGCTTCACTTCCACTGGTGATGGGAGAGGGACTTCTGTGTGGATAACATAACCCTTGAGAAGAAGGGGGAGGAATAAATAAAAAACATGCGTATGTTTTATGATTATATATCCAACCTACCATTAATCACAGGTGTGAAAACTGCCATGCCTTCAAAGTTTGGGTCAGTTACAGTTTTGTCCAAGATGAGCCCACCAATGCTGTTAAAAAAGGACAGGCAAAGAAGGTGGATCAGTCTCTTCCCCAGGACAATTGCTATGCTGTGAAAACAGCACACCGAGATGAGTTACTGCTTCCTCCCCATTGCCAGTGCTGGAACATTCCCTATAGCAGATATTTACTCCTTTTACATCTGTTTTTACTGATAGATAGCCTTGCATTTTTTGTGCATGGCATAAGGAGATCAGGAACCTCTCCTTGAGCAAAACCGATACTAGCCAGGGAAGCTTTATCATCTTTGCCAAACTTCTGCTAAACCTTTATATTGATCTTAGCAGGGTTTTAAAACTCTCTCAGATCTCAGCTGGGTCTGAATGATGTAGCATGGGGGGGAATGAATCAGTCTTCATTTACAGCTGGATAAAGATGAGGCTGAAGTCTGACTGTTTGTGATGGTCATCACGCTTTTAGGTTTGCCGGCTGGAATAAATGATATGTGAATGCACGAGTGCAATTTAAACTGATGATTCCCGTCATCTGGGAGCTCTGTACCTCCATCTAACAGCCTGCTGGAGGGCCACCAATGGCTGAAAAGCACTGGATAAAAACCTTCTGCTGTTCCCTCCGGTTTTCCTTTCTATGACTTTCTACACGAGCATGGGATCTCCCTGCAGCATGCCCACTCGTGTGAGTTTGGGGAAGCAGTTTGTTGCCTTACCTGCTGATGCTCATTGCAACAATGACAGGCTGCCATCCAGACTTCAGAACTTCAGCAAGGGAAGGACTTTGCTTGGCAATAGCAACCCAGAGAGGGATCATGATAATGAAGACAGCACAGATCAGAGGTGAAAGGTATTTCATATCTGGCAAGGAAAAGAGATCTTGAATCAAACACTCCCGGCTTCACGGGTTGCCAAAAAATCATATTGAGTAAAGTCTGGAAGAAAGGCAGCAGGGCTCTGGCTCAGACTGAGAAACGTTAACAGAAAAATCACATGAACCAAGATGCCCCCCACATGACCACTTCACTACACTGCAGAAATCCATAATTAACCTCTGAAACTACTGCTAGAGGATGTTATTTGAAAATCAGCAGGATTCAAAGCAAGCTACGTTTGAAGATGAGCAAGTCTCCAACCTCATCTCTAACTAAGCAAGACAAAAAGTTACAAGCTTTCTGGCTTCAGGGTACAATTCAAACAGCAGGGCGAGGAGAGATCTCTCCTGTGTGCAAGCTGTACCACATTTAAGACAGACAGCTCATGACTTCACCTAAAACAAGAACTAATAGATACCTTTGGTGATAAGCTAGCACTCTCAGCAAGCAGCTGGCCTGCTTTATGGGGACAAATGCTCTCTTGAATGTATAAGCCAATTAAGATCCAGGGTTTATTTCATTCTAGCTTACATATGTTTTCATTAGGAGCTTTTTCCATTCAGTAGGGCCATAACCTTGGAGTGACCTTTAGAAGCAAATGAATTAAAAAATAAATGTGTGTGCAGCACTAAAAGAAAATAAACATGACTCAGAAGCATGAGAAACACCTTCAAGCAATGGGGATGATGCCAAACCTTTTGATATAAAAATGTTTCTTCAACAAAGCTCTCCATCTGGTCTCTGTGCCGGGGCCAACGCCAGCAGGCTGTAACACAGACTTTGCAGGTAATCTGGGAGACTGCAGGCTCTAAGCGTGCATTTTTCAAAACGACACTGCCAGGGCCTTGGGCTACCTGAGCAGCATTGATTTGATGATATCTTCCCCAGATCAAGGGCTCTTACATAAAGAGATGTGCTCTTTAAATGTGGCTTTAGTCAGCGCTGAAATGCAACCACTTCTGGCCGCTGTCTTGTCAGTGCACTTACACACCTGGAGTCATTTAGGATGGATGGGTTGTAGGACATTTAGCTGCTGTGCTGGGTCTCCTACCCCACTCTTGTTGTTTGGAGCAATTAATTACTACACACTGGGGAGGGAAATGGATTTATTCAACTGCCAACAATGCTGCCTTCCTTCTACCTGCCTCCCTTCCTGCTCTCAACAGCCAGGTGTCTGCGTGCACTGTATTACTCATATCAAGAGGCTGAAACTATTTAAACTACTCTGAAAACATCACAGATGCTTCTCTGGTCACAGCCACAGAGGTTATCGTGTTGTTCTGCCATGTGTTCCCTGGGAGATATTATCAGCAGCACAGCGATGGAAAGACAAATTAACCTCACGGGGCAGTGTGATGGCATCATGGAAAAACCCTAATAAAAAAAAAAGCACCTCTGAAGCTCAAGGAGAGCTGGGTAGAAGTGATCCATGTGCCTCTCCCTGCAATGTGTGCCTCCTCACTCAGTGGCACATGGAAGGAGTTATGCAAACTGGGAACAGCTGCTGTGCTGCTTCTACTCAGAGGCTGAAGCAACAGTTTAGATTTCAAATGGCATCAAGCTTTCTGAATCTTTTTATTTTCCTGTTTCTCTTCTAGGTTATGCTCATGGTAAATAGCTGAGCACTTTACAAGCACATATCACCAAGCTGCAATGTGTTTTGAGCTTTTCAGCATCAACAGGTGCCCAAGCCTCTGCCAACTATCAGCACAGCCAACCTCACAGCCACAACTCCTATAGAGTCTTGGGAGCATGACATGATCTCCCCAACTCCAACATGACATTACCTCATCCACCCATGGCTCTCCATAAAAGAAGATAGGAAAATATTCTTACAAATACCAAGACCCTGCAGTAGCTTTGTGAGGAAGGGCTTGCTACAAGCCACGCAGAAAGCAGCTATGCTGGACTTGTGACAGATGCAGGAAAAGTCAATGTCACACATGTCAACCTCCTGCTCTAAAGCAATACAATAAATGTTGGTCACATCTTTGAGAATTCCCAGTTGTGTCTCTTCGTCTCTGCCTTCCAGCTTGCAACTTGAAAAAATGTTTGTGGTCATTTTCTCACCCCTGTGGCATAAGAACCTTCATTCTGAAACATGCCAGAAATGGCTAAGTACCCTGCAATAATTCAACAAGGACTCAGTACCTATGTATTTGAAGAGCGTACTGCTGATTCCTGCCAGCAGGGAAAGGGTTATCAGGTCTCCAAGGCTTGCTGCTATGGGTGTGGCGATGTTGTCTGGGTTGATCCCAACTTTCCTGGCTCCGATGATCACGCCAATCATCACCAGACCTAGAGAAGACATAGAGCAGGCATCAGAGGGAGCAACCTGGTGTCTTTCACCCTGGAACTGCTATTCTGGCTCCCAGAGGGACGTGGGGTCTGGAAGAAGCAAGCAGAAGCAAGCAGCAGATTGCCCATAGTCGTACTGTGCAGCTATCGTCAGGAATTCATCTTCTTGCTTTCACCAGTCGGAAGGGCATCGCTCTGCCCTTATGAAGTTCACCAAAGGCCCACAGGCACACAGGCAAATTCCAGGGATCAAAGGAGATACTAGCAGGCAGCCCAAATGCAGCAGCTCCCCTCCTGAGCAGCCTAATCTCTGCTGCCTTGAAGCAGGACCAGGCACGAAGCACACTCATAGATAAGCACACAGCAGGCATGCAGCAGCCTCCTGGTGCCATCTCCTGCTCAGGATTCCACAGTACAAATATATTTTCCATATTAGACCATCATTTCGGAGAGTTTCAACCACATCACCAAAAAGAAGCAAGCTTTTCTAAGTTAAGGAAAAGCCTGACTCAGCCTTTCAGACCAGCCATCAGACCGAGCCCTCACAGCCCAGAGCCTCTGGTGCACGGAACGGCTTATGTTGGAGAAGATCTCAAAGATCATTTAGTTCCAACCCACTGTCGTGGGCTGGTTGCCACCCCAGATCAGGCTGCCCAGGGCCCCATCCAACCTGGCCTTGAATGCTTCCATCCCTCCCCAGCTACAGACCCACCAGCTTCCCATCACACAGGCCCACACTGTGACCAAGTCCAGAGAGCAGACTAAAGCTGGCTGTTTTTAACGACTGCCTCACGCAGTGTTCCTCGTTAAAAGCATCTACAATCAGCCTTTGACTCCCTCTCCAGGACATGCACTTGCTCTAATTTGTCCCTTTCCCTCAGAAAACGCATGGTACCCAATCCGCCAGTTCCCTCCATTCAGAGTGTCATGCTGCCCTCACATGGCAGACCCACAAAATGATCAGAGCTGATCTTCAACGATCAGAGCAGCTCCTCCCCATACAGCCCATCTTACAGCCAGGATTCAGGGGCACAGGAGCAGCCACAACCCTCTACTGTCCATCCTGAGCATGGTCTGGAGCTGTTTGCTAGCAAACTGACTCAATATTCAGCTTTGTGCACAGCATTAGTGTGTCCCCTCTCTGGAAAAGCACAGTGCAGATGGCTAACATGCCACTAAAGCCAAACTGAGACAGCATGTGCATGAGTCCACCCACCCACAGAATCACAGAATCATTAAGGTTGGAAAAGACCTCTGAGATCATCCAGTCCAACCATCCTCCTACCACCAATATTGCCCACTGAACCACATCCCTCAGTGCCACATCCACACGGACCCTGAACACCTCCAGAACAGCGACTCCATCACTCCCTGGGCAGCCTGCTCCAATACCTCACCATACTTCTGGAGAAGTAATATCCAACGTGAACCTCCCCTGGTGCAACTTGAAGCCACTCCCTCTTGTTCTATTGCTGTTAACCAGGAGAAGAGCCCAACCCCCAACTTACCACAACATATTTATATACACATATCATGTTTTTGTGTATATCAGGTAACACTGCTGCTGTGGAGGCCAAGAGCCCAGCAAATAGATCCCAGGAGATGAGAAGCGAGGACAGGGTGCAGAAGAATTAAAAGCAATGGGCACTGGGACTAATGCTCCACACACACCTCATCCCCATGCCAGACAGAACTCGGATTGCTGAGCCAGCGGGCAGATGGGACAGATTTTCTGCACCACGTTGGATGTGAGAAACCAAAATGACTCACCAAGAGAAAGTGCAGCGATGAAGGCCGTGGTCACACTGCTGGCACACAGCACGGCTGCCTGGCTCAGCTCCACAGAGCCCTTGGAGATGGCTCCCAGGATGACAGCAGCAACGGCAGCCAGGAGTCCCACCACCGTGGCCTGGACCTGGAGGACAAAGGACAACTGGTGAGCAATCAGCTGTATCTGCTGCCCACCTCTGTGTGATGACCGCAGTGTTTCTGCACAGTGAGGAGGGCACATAAAATCCTGCAGAAATGCTGATTCCTTGTGTATTTAAGCAGCATCCCTGCGAGGCTCTGCTACGCTCAGAAAGAATCCTGACGAACTTTGGAGAAAAACGGTGCAGGACTGTAAAGTGCAGATAACACTTCAGCAAAGGACATTGAGTCCATCAGCAGAGGAATAGCTCTGGTCAGCACAGAAATGGGCTCCCCATCAACACAGCACTCCCAGCAAGCTGAAAGCTGTGGAAGGAGATAAGGGAAAGCACACAGACACATGCTGCAAGCACTCTGGCCTTCCACGTGAAACCTTCTGGGCTGGTTACTGGATTGCAACAAGCAGAAAGAGCTTGTTTCTCTCATCTCTCCCCTCCTGCCCAAGGCTGACTCCCAAACACTGCCTGGAAATGACAGGCTTTATCCAGGGGCTGTTGTGAAACAGGGACTGTGATGCAGCTCTCCCTGCAAAAAGAGGTTTTTCATTATTTCAGTTTGTCCACAAAGGCAGTGAATGTCTGGATCTGTTTTGCCTCTAAATCACAAGCACCAGGGATATACAGAGTTTTATTGGAGGCCAAGTCCCAGGCTCTGTTGAGAATATCTGCCCCAAATCAACAGCTCTGGACCAAGAACTGATGGGAACAGATGCTGTCAGACCATGACACAACAATCAAAAAAGGCTTTCTTCCTCTCCCAGCTTTAGTGACTCACCTGGATAAGGGCTAAATTGCAGGTGGCCATTTTCCACTGCTTCTGAGCATCATCCATCTGTCCAGTGTTAGCCTAAGAGTCAAGAGAGACACTCTGAAAACCCATCCCTGGGATACAGGTGGCTGCTGAAAGCAGTTTCATCCTGTCCAGGTCACTAGCTACAGAAAAGTAACCAAATCCCAAAGCTGACAAGGGTGGATCTCTGGCTCTATCCCATTTATGTGTCACAAGGATCCAGATATCAGCAACTGGCCACACAGGGATTAACTCACCTTCAAAGCAGACAGAAATTCTACTTGTTCCATTTACAAAACGAGGGCAAATGTATTATTTTAATACTCACACATCACTGGTTTCTACTTTGCAAACACTGGCTTGTCTCATACACAGTGGGTTACATAAAAGCAGCACCTCTTGATGACTGCTCTCCCTCCCCAGCCACCACCTTGTGAGCACTCACAGCAGTAGAGAGCCTGGATGCCAGTGTCATCTCGAGATTACCCTTCAGGCCAACCAAGGCAGGAACCAGGATAAAAACTTCTGTAATCGTCCGAAACACCTCCCAGTGCTAGAAAGGGAGAAAGAGATAGAAACAACCTCAGTTATGCAGACTTCAGTGCTGTTTCAAAGGGAAATGGATTCCCATCTCACTGCATGCCCTATAGGTGTCTGCTCTGCACATCTGGGCAGATGTTGCATTTTGGGAGTGAAAGAAGCGATTTTTAGTGTTCTTTCTGACCTCATGCACGGCTGTCGTGTCTCCTGACAGGTAGGAAACTTCTTCCTGGGGGGAAGAAGCAGATTTTGGAAAACCACACATTTAAAAAGTGCATTTATAATATTAGCCAGGAACAAAATGAAAAATACTGAAGGTTCACAAGCCAAATACAGCATGCCCTCCATCCTTTGTACTGACACGAGATTCTTTAGTAATGCCTGTTGCTATCCAGATTCATGAGAACAAACACAGATCTGGAAATGATCTAACAGCAAGAAGTCGTGTCTGCCTTTCCTTACCAAATCTCTCACTAAGCATCTAAGGCCACTGGTGGGAGTGAAAGTCTTTTTTGTATCTCTTCTTCACTGGCAGTTCCTAAATCTTCCTGTTACATGCACGCTCTCAGCATAGCTGGAAAAAGGATTTTGAATTAAGATATCCTATAATCCCAAACCGTTGGATAATCATTGCTTCTCTGAAGCTGAACTATACAAACTCCTGAATCAGCTGCAACACCAGAGATGATCAGAAACCTTAAGAAATTCTTTTTACTAACATACATCTTCTCTAGCACATCTACCGTGCAGCGCCTTTTAATAAAGTCCATTCACTCCCTATGCATTCAAGGATTTTGCAAAGTCACACTGCTGCCAAAGAGGCTCGCTGGGATGGGATTGCAGAACAGAGCAGCTCACTGTGGAGCAAAACCAACCAGCCCAACATCTAAGAGAGAGATGTACGAGAGAAAAAGAGCAGCTGCACTGATTTAGACTGAACACCCACCTGCTCTATCCTTATCTCCAACAGCAGTCAAATTCAGAAGTACAAACTCTCTTGAGCAATCTGATCTGCTGCAACATCCTGAGCTGGGGGGCTTCTGTGCCCTTAGCAGCACTAGAAGGATTGCTGCATTGAGTGTTGTGATCAAGTGGTATGGTGATGATGGGCTGATGGTTGCACTCAATGATCTTGGTGGTCTTTCCAACCTTAATTCTATGATTCTATGATTTCTCTTTCAGGTACTCATCGAATCCCTTCCCTTCAGCCCCTATGTCATCCTGTGGCTTAGCTACACATCATGCAAAAGATCACATCCTTTCATCCATTCTGGATTTGTCACTGGCTGGTTTCATACAAAGATGCTGAATTCTGATGCCAAAGGACAAATAATGCCAACAACAGATCTCAGCTCACCTTTTTCACATCCCTGCCCACCCCTGGAGGTGGGACAGACCCAACAGGTGTCAACACATTCCCCCATCAGGCTGTTGGGAAATGTACACAGGGCATAAGGACGTGCAGTGTTTTGCTTGGACAGTGCCAGGGGAAGCTGTGGGAAGCAATGGTGTGGCTGCCTGCTGGGAACACTTAACAACATCCTTCGAGTCAATAGGAATGAAAGAGGGGCTGAGCCAGTCCCAAACATGTGGTGCAAGACAGCCCTCAGGGGTGCAGATAAGAGGCCCACCATTGTTACAGATACACATTTCCTGGCAGTGGTGACCTGGAAAGTAGCATTTCAAAATGTAAAAAGTAAATAATAGACAACACAACAAGAGATACCTTACCTGACACTTTCATTTGAATTTGTTAACATGGTACTTAAATACCTGAGAAAAGGGTGGGTATCTCTTAAAGACACAATTCCCCCTCTCCCCTATCTCTTTCCTTAGGAATAAAGAAAGATCTAAACACATCTTTGACACTCTTGAAAGAAAGGAGAGCAAACAGCTCACAGCCACAATGCAAAAAAAGCCCAATCAGTACCCAAACATGCGGACATCTGATGTATACTCTGCACATAAAAAGATACATAAGTAAGAAAGACACAAATTCAACTCTTTGTATTTTACGCACAGGTCACTTTCAGGCAACATGACTTCATCGTCTCAATGTAAGCTCCAGTCTTTGTGTTAATGATGAATTTTCCTTGTCTCAAGTCATCGCAACAGAAGGCTTAGCATCTGAGGTATGATTTTTTGGGATGCTGCCTTACATATAATTACACTGAAAGGCCTTGAACAACTAATAAAAAAGCATACAACTGTACTAATTACAAAAAAAAAAAAAAAAAAGCTGGTTTAATTGTTTCCATTTTAGTCTCAGTAGTGACTCACTAAGAGCCTGAGGACAGATTCTTATGATTTATACCACAGTAGCCAGGACTGCATTGTGTTAGAGACTGCAGAAATGCAGGATGAGCAGCAGGTCCCCATGCCATTGCTGTGCAGGGCTGACAGGAGGAACAGTGATGTGGCACAGTCTAACCCTACTGGTCTGTCCCCATGCTGCCCTCAGTCCCAGCTATGCTCTGTTACCTTTCCTGGGGCACCCATCCTCTCACAGCAGATAAAAGGTTTGCCATTACCCTGAACAAGCTAACAGAAACAGCAAAAGATCCTAGATTGTAAAACACAAGCGAGGGTTTTAATCAACAGAGAATAGGGATGTCTTATGCCTGTGACTTCAGTTTGGACTGTGTCCCCTGGCAGTGGAAGGAGAGAACAAAATGGAAATTTTCTCCTGAACTGTTTGGCTTGAAATCTGGTTGTCCAACTTCAGCAGACCCTTACCCTGAGAAAACAGCAAATGGCCATTGCTTTGGGCACTGTTTTGTTATGATGTGGGAGACCCAGCTCCAAGCTTTGGCATCTCTTCATTTGACAGATCAGAAATTGCTTAATTCCTGTAACATTTGATGGACACAGATAAGTGCTTTCCACTTGGCTCTACTGTTTATAACATTAGTCTGCAAATGATGGAGCTAGTCTGACTCCCAGCACAGATCCACTGTATCTCTGAGTAACAAAACAAGGGCAGCACCATCAAACCATCACAGGTATGTACACGATACCATCTTTGAGCTTGCCCACAGGCATGGTGTCTTCTAAGAATATTTTGCAGTGACTGCACACAGTGTAAAGCATCCCTCCATCAGATCATCCCCTGAAAAATGGGCAGATCACAAACTCCTGCACTCACTGCCATCTGCAGAGTGATGCTGTGATTCTTAGAGTGCTAGCTCCCTCCTCTGGGAGCTGAATCCACCGACTGATGGCTTCTATTTAATCATAATTGGAAACATCTTCACCAAAAGAAATACACTTACTATTATCGTGCCTCCTGCATGACCCCATTTCTAAGCAAATACACAAAGCAGATTGCTCTCTGGTATTTTAAAAGAACATGTATAATGTAGGAACACAAGGCTTATGTTTTCCATCAGTTCGGATACAGTCACAACTTTAACAGAGCACACTTCTCAGCAAGTGCATTGGATTTCTTTTAACAAAGACCTATTCACCTGCCAAGGGTATGGAGCAGCTTTGTACTACATCTTTATCCTTCCCTGAGATACCTGGCCAAAGATAACTGCTAACAATTAACATCTTGGGAAGTTGGAGAACTTCTGTAATGCTGCAAGACAGGTCTGTGCCTAAGCACTGCACAACAAGGTGGAGATGACAAACACAGCATAGCAACAGCTGTGCCACCCCAGTTAACCCTTCTTTGATATTCCTCATATTCTCCTTTATTCAACTTCATTTCTTCCAGTGCAAGAAAGAACATCAAGGTATTGTCTTTCCAAACACCCCCGTGTCCATATTTAGCTCCTGCTGTGGTACTAATGCCAGAGAATCCAATGTACTCCAGTGAACTCAGACCGCAGGATATATCCTTGGGAAGCTCTGCCAGCCTTTTGATTTGCAAATCCACTGACATTAGGTGCCCAAAGTAGATCAGATTTTGCATTTCTATTTGTGCCACTGGTACAAAGAAAAGATGGATGAGATAGATTCTGGTCGTGGGCACAGCGATGTAAATTCAGCACAACTCCTTAGAGGTCAATGTAAATGGACCCAAATTTATACCCACCTCAGACCGCGGCCAAGAAGCACTCAGTTTGCAGGCAACGCTTATCTCTTTATGCCGGCATGCCTGTCATCCCAGTATCTAAATACCTCCTAGACCAAAGACTACATTAGGTTGTTTGCGAAGAACTGGAAGCATAAACTTGCCCATAAGTGAGGCAGTTAATAACAACCCTGACCTAGATCTCCATATCAGCCGCTTTTGCAGGAAAGAATATCACCCAACAGGGGCATTGGCTGCAGGCTGACCAGTCATCACTGAAGGGTTTAGCTGGGCACAGTCAGTGAGCACCCAGCCTAAAAGCAGACCAGCTGAATGCTACTGTCCCACTTCACAAGTTGCCCATGGACTGACCTAGCAAGAGACAGACAGCATCCCTCTAGCACAGAACAAGCCTACTGGGCTGACTGGCTGCCAGGACCATACGCATTAAAAACAAACCAGCACAAATACTCAAGGTAGCCCACCCCTCTCTATTGAAGCTGCCTAACCACATGTACCTACTTGGACAACATCCATCAAGAGACCAGCAGCTACCATGCCCAAGCCAGCCAGAAGGAAGGGCACGAAAATCTGGGAGGCAATGGAGAACGACGTCTCTGGGAGAAATCCACTGGCTGACCTGGTTAGCTTGCAGGTGAAACCTCTCAGTTTCCGGCCATGAAAGCACAGCTCCAGTTCTAACTGGGTGACCACCATGGTCAGTCACTGCTACCCCATGCTCAGCAGGGCAAATGGGGGAGATCAGGACGTCACATGGATCTTCCTGGCCACTCGCTCTGGTGTCAAAAGCAATGTTTTTCCTCAAGCTCCAACAACGATGCCAAACTGTTTTATCTTCTCCTCCTCCTAGGAGCACGTCCCGAGGGTTGCAGCAAAGGTATCCTCCAAAATTGGTTTAGCTGGGCTGAGCCCAGGTGGCAACAAACTCGATGGCCACTATTTCTCTGTGTTATATCCAGGGGGGAATTATAAAAGATAAAAGAAGATCGTAGAGATGTCTGTGGACGAATAGAAACGAGCCCACACCCCATTCAGCTCCCACCACCTCGGTAAAAAACCAGTAAGACCTGCTCAGGCTACAGCACTGAAAGAGTGACAGGTCATGCAAGAATCCTTCAGCGTGCTCGAACGCACCAGTGTCCTTTCTCCTCAGGTTACATTTCTTGTCAGCCTGCGGCTCGCCTTTGATACGACAGCTTAATACACAAACCCACTGCAAACCGTCCCCGCTTCCCTCACTCCCACCACAAGAGACGTTGAACTTTTCTCGCTGTCCCAGTGCCGAAGAGGTGGGAAGTTAACAACCAGATCCGTTTTGCTCTCCGCCAAGGTGAAGGAAGGTCAAGGAAAACACGAGTCCACATTTGGCTGACAACATCACGCAGGTCCCATCTGCGGGCGAGTGGCACAGCTGAGCAGAGTGGAGAGGGGATCTGCCCTTCCAGACCCCGTCCCCCCTCGTCCCCTCTGCCTCTCAGCAGGATGGAACGATCGTGCTGTGCCAGCTGTACCTCTGAATGACTGGCTTTCAAGGGAGAAAAAAAAATCCAGAGAACCAGCCAATAGGCTTCAAAAGCGGACACCCTTATCTGCTGTCATCACTTCAACTTTCTGCTAGTTTGCAAAGGCCAAGATAAGAGTCATAGCTAGAGCTTATTTAAGGTAGCTCTGTAATCTCACTGCTCCACAGGCAAGGCAGAGAAAGGGCGCGCGTTTCCGGGGCATGCTGTGAGCAGGTCTCCCTTCCCGTCCTACAGCACAACACCCCTATTCTGCATGCTCCCAGGAGGATATTGTCAACGAGGTGGGGGGGGTCTCATCCCATAGTCCCTGTGGTCGTACAAGCCCAAGCACCAGAGCTGCACCACGGCCACATATGGCCAAGGAATTTGTGCTCAGTGACAACTGAAGTGAATGCTGCAACTCAAAGTCAAGCATGAGGGGTAGAAGTCAGGGTGTGCTGTTGGTGCTCCTTTCTAGCAATTAATTTGGACAAGCTAACTGGATCACAAGGGCAAAAAGCACAGCTTAGAACGTAAGGGTACAGATCAGTTTAGCAGAACGGCAACTGAGCTTTTTCACTACTCAAGCGTAGGTTCAAACCCAGCCATGCCCTACTGAAAGCAAACAAGTGAAAGCATATGTTCATGATCAAGTTTCTCAGCCCAGTTCAAATTCAATGTTTAAATTACACCGCCTTACTGACACACTTTGTGCTAATTATCCCTGATGCTCTGCAAAGAGATGTAAAAGATCAATGACTCGTGGACTCTGCCCCATGCCTGGGTCCCCAGAGCTAAGTGCATTAGCAGGGTTGGAAAGAGCAAAGCATACTTCTGCCTTATAGATAAACAGGGAACTAAGGATACCCTCAGCCACTGGGATGGCACGTTTCTTTTGGTCTGCTGTGACAAACCAATGCACCAAGCCTATGGGCTGGGATGGCACAGCACATCTCTGCAAGCACAGCAGGATGGGAAACAGAAGCCACAAATAGAAACTCTGGTAGGATTTTGGGACAGCCCCAAAAGCCTTCCCCACACCTCGCTAGTTTGGTGAGTGCATGCACCTCTTCAACCTAACAATAGTCTGGTGAGCTGAAAGCTAACACAGGGAGTATACTTCAGCTGATCTGAAAAAAAGTCCACAATAGCTGGAAGAGGGAGGTTAATAAAAATCCGGTAGCAACCACATGTGACCTGATCCCTTTATGCCAGCCAGGAACTTGGAAGCAAAGGCATGAAGGCTCAGTTCTGGTTAGAAACTGGAGACTTTGAGGAAGTGAAGAATAAAGAACAAGCTCTGGGCAGCAGACACGGGTTTCCAAAGGTCTGATAACACGCATAACTTATGTCACCATATCTGCCAACTGGATTGGCTGACAGGCAGAAACGTTAATGCAAAGGAAATATCAATGAGACCAAATGACTCAAACGACATTAAAAACCACAACCTGTTCCAAAGCTTCAATATGGCAGGGTTTATGAGTTTATCACGCTTCTGCTCTCTGTTTCTAAGCAAGCGCCATAAAAAGCCTTCGACCGATGAATCAGTGTACAGAAAGGTAATTGGTTCAGGTGACCTGTGCCTGTATGCTGCATCATTTCATTATGCAGGAATCTCTGCTAAAGTCCCACGCCATTATTGCCAGGAAGGAGATGTATCACATTTTCCTGGCAAGGAGATGCAATGTATTTGCCCACAAAGAGATGCACAGTGCCTGAGAAATGCATTGCAAAGCAGCCGGAAAGAGATTATAACCAGTTGGGGAAAAAGTGCTCCTTGTGGCTGTACCACACTTCATAGCAAACCCTGGGGATGTGCTCTGCTGCCCTTCTCTGCACACAAATACCTCACCAGCCCTACCTTGAGGAACCAGCCAACAGGGAGCTTTGCTTCAGAGCAGCGAAAGCAGAAACAGTCTCATTGGCGGGGACCTCATCCTGTCCCATGTCTCCACGTGCTGCTGCAGTGCAAAAAAAAGGCACAGAAAAGGCTTTGATTCCCTGATGAGACACATCCAAGTCCGTACTTATCCATGGAAAGTCACTGTGCTAACTGCCAAAGGCCTATTTTTCTAATGTGATGTTGCATGCTTTGATTTCCCAAGCTCTAAGAACTAACATGAAGCTTCCTTGTGAGCTCTTTATTTGCATAAAACAGAAACCAGATTTTTGCGGTTTCAGAGGAATAAGAGGTTTGTTTCACATTCTGTTTAAATTAGTGGCACAGCCCTTCCTAAGAAAAAAACAACAACAAAAACACTCTAAAGGAAGAAAACTCTTCCAACATCATAAATCCATCTGCAGTTTCTCACTGCAATCTCATGATGGGAGGTAACGTGTATTTAATGTCAAAAATCCATAAGGAATGAGCGAGTCCAACCACTCTGAAAAGTAAAAATGAAAGTCACAGACTTGTGCAAGTCAAACAGCTGCTCGAGGCTCAAAATTCTCAAAACAGTCATAGACTGATAGTCACGGAATCACAAAGATTGGAAAAGATCACTAAGATCATCTAGTCCAAACATTAACCCATCACCACCATGCCCACTTTGTTTAAGGAGACCAAAGGTCTGCTGCTTGGTTCTCAACTTGCCCTGGTGTTCTCTGGAGTCGAAGTCTGCTGGGTATTGAGCACATGTTAAGGTCAGTTGAGGGCACTGTGTCACCATCCTTAAGCCTCTACAACTCTTCTAGCTTAGGGAGATCAGCCCTGGGCAAAAGAACACTGCTCCAGATTTGTGAAAGTTGTCAGTACAAGCACAGCAGTTTCAGTATCACTGCATTTGATTGCCCAGGGCAGTCTGACCCAGCAGCTCACTGGTTAGATAACACGTGTTAGCCAAAGGCATGCGGCACTCAGAATCACCTACAGCAATTTATAATCTAGGTATTAACTGCAGTTGTTAATTGCCTATAATCCGGTGTTCATTGCCACTATAAAGCTCTGCACTGCTCTGCCACCGGAGGCAAGGTCTGCTCCCAGCTGTCATGCAGTCTTCACTTACTATCCCCAGAGCAAATTCCCTACGCCAGGTGCATCAAATCAGCTCCCATCCCTTACCTGAACATAATCCAACACCATGCCTGCCAGGACCATGCCAAGCCCAGCCAGGAGGTAGGGCAGCAGCACCTGCAGGCAGATTGCACCAGCTGACTCTTCCCGTGATTTTGCCATGGACACTTTCTCCTCAGCCAACAGCTTCTGCTGGGCAGGCAGAGAGACATCCTCTGCTTCCTGGCTGCCAAGCCGGCTCTCTCTGTGTTTACCCTTGCCCTTTGCTTTGTGCCTGGGGCGCTCTCCATTCCTGGTTTTGCCCTCTTTTTTCCTCTGTCGAGCTTCCTCACCTTTCATGGTGCCTTTCTTGAATCAAGGAATTTTTCTGAAAAACAAAGTCAGAACCCATGAGATGATGAAAGAAGGAACAGGATGAATCAGGCACTGGAAACCCCCGGTATTTTATCCAGTCCACTAACCTCAAGGCAAATCACCACCTACTCCCAACACCCTAAATGCTCTACTGACTCAGATGCTAGCACTTATTTTTACCTTCAAACCAAACCAAACCCTAGAAAAGACCATCTTGTTCCAATCCCCTGCCATAGATTGGTTGCCACCCGTGGGATAAGGCTACCCAGGGCCCCATCCAGCCTGGCCTTGAACACCTCCATGGATGGCGCTTCCACAGCTTCTCTGGGCAACGTCTTCCAGTGCTTCACCATCCTCCAAGTGAAAAATTTTCCCCTAACATCTAACCTAAACCCATTTCCCCTTGTCCTGTCACTATTTCATTCCTCTCCAATCTCTCCTTCTATAACCACATCTCTCTTCCCAGGCCTGCGCTCACACCAGAGTGCTGGTTGGGCATCCTGCCTCCCATACTGGGAATACCCAGAAGGCTGTGAAGGGTGCTGCAGGTATGCTGTGTTCTGGGCCCACCAGATCTCGTGCTGGGGGTGATGAGGACCAAGGGGCTCAACAGAACCCAACTCTTTTTAGTATCTGATTTCTGGCAATGATCTTGGAGGACATCACATCCTGGTCATCCTGCATTACAGAAAAGGGTATAATCCATGCCTAGTGTAACAGAGCTAGCTACCCATCACTCCTCAATTATAGGTTAGAATCATGGAATTGTTTAAGTTGGAAGGGACCCATAAAAGCTAGCCCAGCTCCCCTGCAACAAACAGGGGCACCCACAGCTCCATCAGCTGCTCAGAGCCCATCCAGCCTGACCTCAGCTGTCTGCAGAGATGGAACATCCAACCAGCCTGTGCCCATACCGCAAAGAATTTTCTCTCATACCCAATCTAAATCTCCCTCCTTTTAGTTTGAAACAAGTTTTCCTTGTCCTATCAGGCTAATTCTTCTATCTTCTGTCCAATCTGAATACTTTTGTTCCCTCTTGCACCATTTTTTTTACATACATGCATGTACTATGAGACTCACCTACCTACAGAGCCTGCCCAGACTCCACAGCACCTTCTAAGAAAATATAAACATGCCAAATCGTTATCAGTCCCCCTTTTCCTGCCCTTATATCTCATTTCTTGCTATAACTCAGCTACCCTTGCCTGCCCCACTAAAGGCACAGGCACTGCCCCAAATCTTTCCCCATCACTTCTCCCATCACCCGCCCAGGCTAAGGGCTGCCTGCTGCTCTCCGCTGCTCCCATTCACAGGACGCGCCCCAGATGCCCAACCTCAGCTCTTCCACACTGCAATCCATCCCCTTCCTGCTCAACATCTGGGGAGGCCCCAGACACAGCTGGGCGGGGGGAGGAGAATGGACAGCCTTAATTCCCATCTCCAGGACGGAACCCGCCCCGCATCCTCCCCTTCATCCCCCCGGCGCTTACCGGCTCGGAGCCCTGCCCGGGCTCTGCCCGCGGGCGCAGAAGGACCGCCCGCCAAAGCCGGGGCGCGGCTCGGAGCCCGCCCTGCGCGGCGGCCGCGGGTTCGAGCCCGGCCCCCGACGGCTCGGCGGCATGGGCGGTGCGGAGCGGTGAGTGGCAGCCGCCGGGCCGGCCCCGGAGCCGGGCACGCACCGGGGGCGCGGCGTGCGGGCGGGCAGCGGCTGCAAGCGATCCGTCATCGGCACTGTCATGGCCCTTCCCGTTCCCGGCAGGAACAGGGCTGGGACTGTGTCTGAAGAGCTCCCAGACACGCTGGAGAAATGGGCCCTGCAGGGAAATGCCTGGGGATCCAGGAGGGGTCCTGCTGCCCCCTGATCCCATGGCTGATGGCAGCAGGAAAAGCGAAACAGCAAGTTGAGAACAAACAGTATTTATTTTCCTTCTTTTTTCCACCCTTATTCTGGCGTTGAAGAGCTCTTGTTTCAGGTTCCCTGTGCAAAAGCCTTCCTCCCGTGCAATCAACAGCAAAACGCCCACTGAATTGGCTTCACCCCCTCCCATACCAAATCAATGTCAGCACTGTGATTGCAGCATCCATCACAATCAAGCACATAAATCCCATTAAGCACTGAAGAAACCGTACTCATGCATGTCTCGTGAATCACACAGCTCGTATTTCCAGAACAATTGAGGATATTAAATCATACCTCAGTATCACAGCAACACTATATCCTGCTGAAGCCCATTGGATGCCAAACTGCGCTAAAGAGCTCCGAATGACGAAGTGGTGCCCCTGAGCCCACGGGCTGTGGCTCAATCAGGGCACACCAATGGGGGCTGAATGCTTTCGTGACAGTAACGAAACCCCACAGCTGCTGTGTGCATCACCTGGCAAATGGCACTGCTGGAACCACGAGGCTTAAATTTCAGCTCACTTGGTGTAATTTTATGTCTTCCTTTTGCAGCCTTGAGAGTGGTCAGAAGATGGCGTTTTCCAATGGGAAATAAGAGAGGAAGGGACATGGATTTAAACCCCATGACCTTGCCAAGCCATTTTTAGAACTGTAAGAT